GGTCTAATGAGGCCTGCGCTGGACGCTGGCTCTGAACGACCCTGTGATATCAAAACCAAACGATCTATTATTCTTCACTGTGTTATCCTGCTTAGGATCATGCCCATCAAAATTCACAAATTCATGAATATACAGATCAGAAAATCTAATTGGAGTCGTTTCCACTGAAGTGATGGAAGAGGACTTATAAGGTATTAAAAAATATGCAGTTCCATTATTCCTAACAAGTTTGAATCTTATAACATAAAACCCCTGGACTGCTGGATAAGTTACAGCTACAGGGAGTCATTCATCTTGTTTCTTCTATTTTGTTTGAATTTGTGTATATCGCCTACTGAGATAATATACATAATAATAATTTCCATTGACATACATCAAATCACACTCTCGAAGGAATATTATAGTGTTGCGAAATAGACTCGTGCCGTTGTTCTCCTCGCAAGGCCCCGTTGGTTCTCATCTCCCAGGAATTTTTACGTGGAAGATGGAAGGTGTTGGTCAAAGGATCTCTAACCCTAATAACAGAATTATGTCCCGTAGATATCCTTAGGACGTCCTGTCGGGACATTCAGGACGTCCAGGATAGAGATATCTGAAGGAATGTACCATCATGGTTGTCTAGAAGGGACATTATATAAGATCTGAAGTCATGCCAGAATATGTACTACTCGGGACATCCGATAGATGTCCCTAGAGGAACGTTTAAATTTATATCCCATCAGGAACATGCTCGGGGACATGCCAAGGACGTCCTCGCATAGACATTCTACAATATGTACCACGTGAGACGTCTAAGGGATGCTATTTTAAGGATATTTGAAATGATGTACCAGCTGGGACATTCCGTAGACGTCCTTGCTCGGACATTGCATGAGATGTACGGGATGGGACGTCTCAAGGACACTCATTTTTGGTCTGGGACATTCGGACACGAATTGTACCTAGGACGTTGTGTGATATTAGGGGAATGATATGAACATTCTGGAAATATTATATTAGGTCATATTAAGTGCGGCAGGTTTCCCGATAGAAGAATATCATCAAGAAAAGGATAGTGATGAATTGATAAATCAGTTAAAGATGTTTATCGAGTTATATCAGAGAATACGTTGTTATTGTGATTCTATATCGTGTATCATAGTGTTTGTATTTGAATAAATCGTTTCTGACTTAGTGTTTATTGTGAAGAACCGGACCCGGACTTTATCGTAAAAATATGTATATAGGCATATTGAAACCCATTTATTTACATCGCAAAGATTACGGATGTTTGTTTATAGTCTGTTCAATACATAAATTGGAGCGAATTCATCAACTGAATCAACTGATAAAAGTGAACTGCATATTGTGAATTCAATTCATCAATAAACGTAATATAATATAATACGGCTATTTATAAACGTGCCAATAATTGTTATGATTCAAAATACCTATATTGGTTTGCTGCAGGTGATGAGCATAGTAAATTGTAATTAACGCAATCGACATCTATGTTGATAATAATAAAATTAATAATTATTACCAATTCAGCTAACCATGGGTAGGTATGATACTCATTATATTAGCGAAGGCGCCGTTCTATTTCTCCTCACTTTTTTCTCCTTTTGCTCATTAACGCTAGATATCAGGATGGTCATCAAAGGAACGATTCCCTGGAATCTTCAAGAATTAATTTCATCAATGTTATAAAGTCGTTAATAGAAATTATTTCAGTAGATAGTGAGAATAAAGGTTAACAATCGAAAGCAACTGAGCTAGAGATAAAAATGGAAAACTCAGAATTCTTGATTCTGCTAGTTTTATTTTCCAAGATACTTAATTACTTAAACCATGTTTTTGAAGTTCTCCGAAGTAAAATAAGTACTGCATTTAACAATGCTTACGAGCTTCCTAAGAGTTATGATGAAATTGAATCAGAGGTTTCAGAGCTGTCAAAAACTTGGCTAGTCGAAACAACTTCCGTAGAGAAGAGAAATAAGGTGTTTTCGATGAAATGAGTGCAAAATATCAGAAGAAAAACAAAAAATAAAATACATTCAACCTCGCATTTAACAGTATTTCCAATTCAAGTTTTCAGAATATCGTGTCGAAATTTGATTTTTTGAACCTTCTTAATATCTAGTGTCCCTATAGGTGCCCAGAGTTCACCAGCAAGCTAATGATGATATATATGATATACTGCAAGAAATATACCCTGACATTTAATAAAAAAAATTGCAGGGAAAATCCTAAATTTTAGCTCTGCCTTTAGAGCAAGTTTGAAAAATATGAATAGAATTATAGAAGAGAATGATTAATTTTCTTGTAAACATCAAATCACTATCTCAGATTGTCCCAATATTTGCACTGCTTTCTCATTATTTTGATCATTTCCTGTAGTTCCTGTGATGTCAATTTTTGGTGAGAGAACATTTTTGAAGCTGAAGCTTATATAAAACTATCTGAGGAGTACTATGAGCCAGACAAGGCTAAATAGCCTAGCAATACGGAGTATAGAAAATTGATGTTCACAACAAATTTCGATCATATATGATTCATAGCAATATATTTAATTGTGTTTCCCCCGTTATATATTCCATTTCCTAATAATATAAAATAATAGTATAAGCTGCAATTTTTTTATAAGTTCAGGTGTCACCAAAAATATGGGTTCATTTAGGCGCCAGCCGATAGTTTTGACCCCCGGCGCCGTTATTTTTTGCTACGCCACTGATGAATAATCTGCTATAATATGGATAATTCGGCAACTTCAACATTTTCACAATGGAAATTATCAAAAGAAGTTATGAGTTGAATATCTGGTTGTAGTCGATCCTCAAATTGGAGTTATTGAAATGATAAAGAGGTAAAACTCAAAAAAACTCAATCAAAATATTTTTTGAAGTGAGACCGTTTTTTTTTTCTGTCACGATAATTTTTGTATAGCTAGGTATCAAACTGATAGCAATGTTCCCAGCGAGCACAAAAACATCTCAGAGATGTTAAAAGTACGAGATTTCGAGACATTGAACCTCCACTGCGATGTTCTGTTCACACATGAATATAGAACTATTATAGAACAGCCAATGTCGTCCGCCGCAGGCGGCAATTATCGAGATGTCCTTGATATGTCACAAAACTACCTTCTCCCTAGTTCCTATTAAAGCCTTTTCATGGACACAACAGAACATTTTTAACGCGTCTTGCGCACATTAAATCGCTGTAAAAAAAACATTTTCGATGTACTTTTCTGAAGCCTTTTGTCAAAATGGAACTTTTGCATTAGGATTCCATTTCCCTTGAATGAAAAAATGCATTAAAAATAGATTGAACATAAAAATATTTTCTTGATATGAAATTACCTCCTTAATCGGTTTCTGAGTAGTGCTTACTACACACAGACATATAATTGGAAATAGGTTTCCCAATTTTTGAAATGTTCTCCACAATGCATAATTTTGCAACTGCGGAGAAGCTGTGTATTGATGAATTCGTACTTTTATATATTGATTACACTGAGGCACCGAACAACGCATCTTGCATCTGATGGTCATTTTTACAAACTAACTGAGTCTTCTAACACAATAAACTTCATCAAATTCCTTTCTGTTCGTTAGCAGCTTGATGTAAGCGTGACACGCTGCAAAACGCGAATGCCAATATTGCCAATTGCGAACAAGAAGAACAAAATCGAAAACAAATCAGAATTCATCGTATTGTGACGTAAGCATGAGACGTTGTAGTGGGGCAAACAAAGAAAGGGCACAAAAGAACAAAAACAATACTTTCAAAATCCTTCTAAAACCTCTTTGGGAAGTGCATATTACGCCTCAAAAAAACATCCTCATGCCTACATTTCTAAAACATCCCAAAACATCCCAGGGATACCTCTCAGTAGGCAAACAAAGAAATGCCACAGAAGAACAAAAACAATACTTCAATATCCTTCAAAGACCTCTTTGGTCAGTGCATATTACGTCCCAAAATAACATCTTCATGCCAACATTTTCAAAACATCCCAGGGATGTTTGTGCTCGCTGGGTTGCTATTGCTATACTTCAACCAGGTAGATCGGTAACGAAGCGTTTGCGGACATAATATGTTTATGAGAAGAAAGTCTTATTCTGTCCTGAAAAATAAGTCCCTGAATTTCGAATATGTATTGTATAATGTGGTTATCTAACTTCCCGAGATTCATTTTCGAACTATATTTTCATATTGATGAAACTTCTCTTCTATCTCTCTCCTGCTCTTTTTTCACATACTATGATTACTTTTTTTGACATCCTTCATTTTGATTTGTATCATAATCTTTATTGTATTATCCAGATCCAAACATACTCTTTTTATCATGTTGATGTGACTACGAGAGTCCATCCCTTCACTGTCGCATTTCGCATTGTGGATGCAATTTACAGAAACCGTAACTGAGGTGCTCACGTATTCATCATTTTAGAGGCACAATTAACTCTCCCTGTTAACTGCTGTTGATAGACCACAAATATTGCGGCACACAGATATCTACATTACCGACACAACAGCCGGATTCAGATTCATGTTGATGCGTTTCCGCTAAATCCTCGCATCAGTTAAATATTGAAAATCCTATATGTATAACACTGGCTATATGCTGATTTGCGAATGACTTGTTTGCCACACACATAACACAATTGAGATTTACCTCATCAATATATATATTCGCCCAGTCAGTTATTGTTGTTTCCATAGGTAATAAAAGTGATGTAGAGGTACCTACGGCAGGGCATAGTTATTTATTGAGCATCCCAGTATTTTATTATTTTGATGCTAACCAAAATATTCGAAGCTTCAAGTTCAAATATATTAATTGAAATTAATAGGCAATATCCATACGTGAATCATGCTGTACCCAATAAAAAAAGAAAAACCTATTGAGATGTTCAGGTTTTGATTCGAAATTCCATCCATTCCATCCATTCAAAATTGTGAGATGAGTATCACTGATGTGAATTGAATAATTATCATTCCAAATTCTCATATCAATCTTTATTTACTAATGACAGGTAGACTGGTGCACACATGAAAATCAGAGTAGGAAACATTTATTTTTTTGAACTGATACAAGAGTCATACAACTTTATTCAGAATAACGTCCTCAGAAACCACAGAAATATATATATTGATGGAATTCATGTAGTCCAAACAGATCCATTTTTTGCCAATAGAACAAGATTGGAAAAATCGCATGCTGTCGTATCTTTCCTGAAAATCAAATTTCATCAATAGTCGTTTAAGTATCTAAGTAATGCATCATGTACTCAATGTACAACTCAAATGTGGAAAGTACTAAAACTCATTTTACGACTACTGTAGGACTGATGTTCACAGCCTTTGAAAATATTAATTGAATCAGTCCAATCAGTACATTGAATTCATCATTACATCATCACATTGACAAATGACATTGATAACATGCACGTATGCAGTAATCGCAAGGAATGAACTTTCTTTGAAAAGTCATGTAATTTCTGTGGAAAATATTTGTAGGTTCTAAACCATGACAAATAGCAGTCAAAGCAGTTGCATTTCGACAACTTCATTGTGCTGTATCTACTCGAATAATCTTTAAAGTGCTCGAATGGGTTATGGGTTGAAGGGAAGGAAATAGGTGTATAATATCTGTTCGATTTTTTCGTAATGGTCGAGATACTTCTTTGTACTTTTTCTAAACGGTAGAGCTCTTTTTTCTAATTTCAAATAAGTATATATACTTTATTGAGGTCATATTTTGTCATGTTTCGAAAATTATAGATTTCTTGTTTTTTTTCTTTATGTTCTGGTTCCCACGAAGAGGGATATCCTGTAATGTTCAAATCGGCATGTCATTCCCTTAGAGGAGTTTCCAGTATGCAACATGAGTGTAATTGCTATTGTTTTCAGTAGATGATACAATATATTTGTTTCATTTCAACTGGTAGCATATCATATGCTTTAGGGCAATTATTTTATTTTCATTTTTGGTGATACTGTTTCGTTATTTTTTCCTTATCTGGTTGTGTAGATAGGGTGTTTTCCAAATAATAGTGATGAATGGAGTAGGTAATAGAACACGGAAAAACAGTGCCAGTACCTTCAATCATTTGAATCATCATTGAAAAAGGTGTATACTGTATAGTTGTTATATCATCCGTGGCATGTAGCTACCTGAAATAGGTACTATCTTTCTCGTATTCGATGTTATTTAGGGCTTGTAGATGTTGGTTGTGTGGGAGGATATGGCATATCAAAACATATCAGTTGTCCATTGTCAAAAAAATTGTGTCGATATACAACATTTGATAGGTTAATGGATTATTGATATCTTGTTGATGACCGGAAAATCCCTAAAACGTTCAACCTTAGGAAAATGGAAAATATCTATTGATTTCCTAATGTCGTGAGGATTATGCGTAATCTTGAATAATGTTGTGGCTGCACAATACCAGTAAAGCATCTACGTGTTATATGACAGGAAAAACAATGAACAAATAATTTGGTTCTTCAAATGACATTAAAAGTGTCTTTTCAATGACACTCAACAGGCAGAAAAGGTATACTCTTACTGCCTAGGCAGAAAAAGTTTGTTTCTATGCAACGTTCCAAGTGATTTGAATCAAATAGGTAATCAAAATTGACAAAGACTTTGGGTGAACAAAACATGATGTAGTTTTTGGAATTTGCGTAAAATAGAAAAGAATTTGGAGAAGAAAATATATGTTTCACATGTCAAAAAAAAAAGATGTAATGCCTTGGCTGGTTTCCTAGCCTCGTCTACGCTTAGGATATGAAACGCCAGCCGCGGCATTAAATCTTGTACTTTTCTGCCTAGTAATATACAAATAACTATTTTATCGCCGACAAATAGTGCCAGCAGTATGTATATATAAATCAATGGGCATGGGCGCCGCTACTTGAGGGCAAGGGGGGGCGGCCGCCCCCCCCTGGATTTTAGCTTTTTCAGTCAAGACGCGATAAACTTAAATAGCAGAAATATCAGCTGAGATCATCCCAAATGTAAGTTCATTAGTCGTTCGGTGAACTTCGCATTTGCCCGTCGGCCGTCGCAACCATGTGACTTCCTAAGGCGTTACAAACACTCGGAACGCAAGCACTTGACTCGAGCTACCCCACCACGCGATACGCGAACAAGTGTCCTATCAAGTATCAGTATTTTTTTAGTGGTCAGTCTCGTATCTGTCTGTGGCCTGTGGGGTGGATTGTTGTGCGCTATGGATGCGAAAGATTTTATGATTTCTATTTTCATTCCTTATTTAGATTCAGTCATAAGATCTCTGGAAACTCGGTTTTCCTCTGATAAAACAGCTGCGTTCTCTCTATCACAGTTTCATCCTGCTATCATTAGAGAGGGAATTATTCTTTGTGAAAATCAGTTGGAAGATATTTCAAACCAATTTGGAGTTGATAATTTAAGTGCGGAATATTGCACATGGCAGCAAGTGTGGAAGGAAAAAGAGTTTTCAGGAGATATGACTGAACTAATAAATAATGAATGTAATTTTTTTCCTAACATTAAAACTTGTTTGAAATCTTTTGTTATTATGCCTCCTACAACATGCTCGATTGAACGATCGTTTAGTACTCTCAAGAGAGTGAAAAGTTGGCTCAGATCAACTATGAGCGAAAACCGTCTTTCTGGACTGGCTCTCATAAGTATACACAGAATATACGTTGATAACAATAAGCTTGAAATAATTAATAAGGTCATTGATTTGTTTGGCATGGAAAAAAGAAATTTAAAATTCCTTTTTGACGAGTAGACTAGGATTGCCCTCAGTGCAGTATCTTTATTTTTCAATTTAATTTTTTCTGCTTTTATTTTGGTCGAAAGAAACATTGTTTCATTTATATTCTTGTTACAAGTGCATTTTGAATATGGAGTTTATTTGTATTTTATTTTATATAGGTATTTACCAAAGAGTTTTGATTTAGATTTGCTATTATTATATTTTGATGGGACATGTATTCCAAAAGGCCATCGATTTGGAATTTGGGTCTTTCAGCTTTTATTTTTGTGATATTTTTGTTTTAATGTAGGTGTTTCGTTTCGAAAAAATAGATTTTTTTTTAATTCCTTGTTTTACTTATCAACTGACCTACCCAACCTACTTTACCTATATCCTCTTCACAATTTCTTCAAACCACACTGGTAGTGAAAATGAGTCAAAAGGGTTTCGATTTCACCTATTACTTATATCTAGTATAGTACAATTAATTCTTTAAATTTGAAAAAACCGCCCCCCCCCTGGAATTTTTACTAGCGGCGCCCATGTCAATGGGCCATTCAAAGAACGAGTCAAACATACGTTGAATACATGCTCAGGCACTCTCTTGAACAAGATATCATAGAAATGTTTTGCGAGTCATTGGTGCATTCCCAGCTCAATAATTATTATACTGCGACACTGTCTACGGACCATGCTTGGATTTTGTTGGTATTAAACGTATTCAAAGAGTTCAGAATTCTTGCTTAATACTTACTTATTTTTGGTGTCAGTAGACGAAAAAAAAAAATGCTCATAAATTAAAAGATGTTAATTGGTGTGTAGCTACTTCAAGGTGCTAAAAACAAAAAATCCGGAATACCTGTATAATCAAATGGATTTCAGAGGTGAAATTCATATTCACACACGTCTCATTATACCGTACCACTACATAGGAGAAGAATTCGAAGCTTTCTATTGCCCAGCATATTGATAATGCCCTATGTGTTGCAGATTCCAGTTCATCGCTAAAATAATTTGAGAGTATCGTATCGACACAACTGCTTCAACTCTAGAATTCTGGATTCTTGATGTTCTGCTTCAATATGTATTGAATCATATTTATGAATTGACATAATAAAATGCTGTCTTTTAGTGATATACCTGCTATGCGTAGTTGTCTCTCTTTTTTTACTCACCTTCTTGTTCTTGAGCTTTCATCTTATACTCTTAGGTTCTCCATCAACCGTTAGATTTAGTTGATAGGTTTTTTTGGTGTGGCCAGAATAGAACAGTTTCAAATACTTGGTAGAATGTAACTCGTAACTGAACTCTGTCACATTATTCGTCACATTAAGCAAGACAAGTCATTTTAGAATATTCCCTAGCCTCAATACTAATTTTCCTGAAACTTAAATGCTTTACATCGGCATTCAAGCTGAAACACGAAAGTCCCCTTCAATATTCTTCAGTTTTTTATAGCTCTTTCGGCCGCTGCGGATTGCATGCCATACATTATTAGTGCTTCGGTTTATTTGAACTTTCGTATATTACAACGACAACGGCAAGCAATATAATATTAACGAAAAACACTAAAATTGTTGACGAAAAGGAAACCTTTTATCTACTCACTGAATCGAAAGTAAGCGTTTGCTTCCTCATTCAAGGAAACAAAGTTGTCAAAATCGCATATGCCGTTTTGTATTTATATGGGAAAAACTATTTAAAAATTTTAACTCCAAGGCCCTCTGGAGCCCAAACGATGCAACTTTGTACTGAGGTAATTTTACTTAAATCGACTTATTTTGGTCTAGGGAATATGTGGTATGTTTTTGTAAAGACGTTTTACAGACACCCTGTATATATCATGGGAGCAATGGTTCATTTCCTCCCATGTGTGTTTAATCAAACTTCACACGCGGGAAGAAATGAATACCTTTCCTCCCTTGATATATAAATAGCTATTCCTCATGAAGTGCATACGTGCGGTGGCCATCAACCCGACTATTGTTCATATTTTGGGGTTAATTATGAAGCCTTAAGAAGGCATGCAGTGTGAAATGGGAGAACGTCACCTGTCACCATCTCCTAGTCCTAGTCTATTCTCCTCACCTGTTTCGTCCCTCCGACCCGCCGCCACCACCCTCGTCGGCGCAAAGCGTGACGACCTTGACCCCGGTGTCATCTGCGCACCGAAGCGACATCGCCCGACCGAAGCCGATGACGAAGTGGCGCGCTCCGACGAAGACGGGACAGGCGTCGGCGTCGTCCGTCGGCGGGGACGCCACCAGGTTGAAGACGCAGCCACCGTCGGCGCCGTGGTGGCGGCCCATGTACTCGATGCCCAGCAGGGTGCCTCTGACAATGCCTTCCTACGGAATCGATCATAAAATTAGAGGAAAAAGTTGAAGGAATGAAGAATCGAACAAATTAATCGAAAATGGTCCTCTGTGGAAATTACTGTATTTTCGTGATGTTGTGTGATGGTAGATTTCCAAAAATGGCAGTGGCGCGCCCCGTATTTCTCATATAGTATTCATTTATTTACTTAGTTCACAGAACCATTCCAATAACGAACTAAGAAATAAAGGAATATGAGCAAACAAGAATATGTAATGAGCCTGTATTTCAATATTGAAACACAGTTTTCAGCATTCTCCGATGAGGGCGCTAGGAATCGGTGTCAAAATGTTGGAAAACATGGGATCGCGCGCCCCCACTTTTCCCCCGTTAGAAATTTTTTTCCTGAAACAATAAATACTGGGCTCTTTACAAAGGATGAACGGATGTTTCCCTAGAAGCAGATTTCGATTTTTTGTCTTATATTTTTCAAAAAAAAATCTGAATATACCCGAAAAACGCAATGTTAATGATTTTGTATGCGTTAATGAGTTTTTTTGCAGAATATCAGTGAATTCTTTCAAAATACTACTTCCAGAGAACCCTAGATACTTTAATTCTGCATCTCACTATATTTTTTGTATTCCAAAAAAGGCAATATTGAACAATGAAAAGTGGGGGCGGAGAAATGATGTTTTCATTGAACTGGTGCATGATGGTGTATCCTCAACTTAACAACCATTGTCTAATACAAAAGAAAAGAAAGATCTACTCTGCTGGATTGTTGTATAAAAAATGTCGAAAGCTGTGCACTGATCATTATAATTTCCACAAATTCTTTGCACTGATGGAGAGTTCCTACATATGTTCGTGCGTGAAGTTGGCAAGTAAAAGGTTCGATTCACTCGGCACGCCATTCTTGAGACGTGAAATTGAATTCTTTGCGTCAAATAATGGAGATCACATAGGTTATTGATTGTTTTGAAAAGGATTACACTTGAATGGTACTCTCTCCGAGTTTGTAGACTGATGAATGATTGTCTCTCAAGTAAATTGTTGTAGAATGCCAATTTCTGTATATTCTCCATTATAGGGCTTCGCTAGACCAAGACCAAGACCAAGACTGATCAGTCTTGGTCTTGATGATCGTAGCTTGAACAAAAGGAAGAGCGATAACGGATGAATGTATATTTTTGCAGTGGCGTGGCGTCTACTTCGAATCTTGGAAATCTGATCCCAAAATATAAAAAAATATATACCGCAGGCAACTATAAGAGCTATAGAGAATAAAAGAAAAAATCTTGAAATTTACACGCTCTGTAGATCGGTACTTAACGAAGCGTTTGCGGACACATGTTTATGGAAAAAAATGTCTTATTTCGATCAGAGAATATAAGTATATATAGGTATAGGTACCTGAAATCTTGATATTGAATTTTGAAACACTCTGTATATTATTTATGGCTCTCTTCTATAACATGATTTTTTTTTTCGTCACCAGAACCAAAAAGCTATTACCTTTCCCCTTCCTCCCCCCCCCCACAAGAAAAAAAGTATCGACGCCCCTGCCATGTACCTACTGATGATCTATATATTTTTCGCGTCATCATAATTGGTTTATGTTGGGTGATGGGTTGTGAGTAAGTAGGTATAAATAAAGTTTTCTAATGAAAATCATTTTAGATACTTAATGGTAAATTGAAAAATATTGAAACGACTTAACGGCTAAGTTCATTCTCTCAACTTTTCTTTGGGGGGACTAGGTCATAATTTGGGGAGGTCTTTGCAGTTCTAACTTCGCCACTGAAATCGTGCCACCCTGTAGTAATCAGAAGTATGAGAACATCAGAGTGAAAGTAATACAAACTAATGTGGGTAACTGATAGAAAGTCAACCATATCAAGTGCGATGGTGGTGTAATGGTCAGCATAGTTGCCTTCCAAGCAGTTGATCCGGGTTCGATTCCCGGCCATCGCAATATTTTTTTTTATCTGACGAAATACTTCTTTTCCGTCGACCTCGTATTAACGACTAAGTTCAATGTATATGAAATCGTTCATTAATGACCCCTATTAATAAACGATTTGTCTATTAATGCACGATTGTTTTATAGGCAACCAAACATACACCGCGTGCATTCATTGTTTATGCTATAACTTACGGAATTTGCATTTAAATCGAAAATATGGATTTCATTGAAGATTTTCTGTTCACTTTTCCAAGTTTCTGACACGATTTTAATCCCTGTTTTCTAACACAAGAAATTTATTCGACAAATGTCAAATGTCACTAATGTCAGTGACAAGGCTACTGGGTGATTCTTAGCAGTTTCCAGATGAATGATGAATTCGCGAACCAAGTTTTCTTCATTGCAGGAGAAATGAGAAATATAGTCGACGGAAATTTTTTTTAACCAACTTGTATATTAAAAGGCGATTAATGATCTCGAACATTAACGCGCTCGCTTCGCTCGCACGTTAAAATATCTCAATCATTAATCGCCCTCATTAATACTAGTTGGTTAAATAACTATTTCCGTCGACCTCGTATTAACTACCAATTTTAATGTATATGAAATCGTTCATTAATGACCCCTATTAATAAACAATTTGTCTATTAATGCACGATTGTTTTATAGGCAACCAAACATACACCGCGTGCATTCATTGTTTATGCTGTAACTTACGGAATCTGCATTTAAATCGAAAATATGGATTTCATCGAAGACCTTTACAAGTTTCTGACATTATTTTAATCCCTGTTTTATAACACAAGGAATTTATTTTCCATGTTGATCATTTCAACAAATGTCAAATGTCACTAATGTCAGTAACAAGGCTACTGGGTGATTCTTAGCAGTTTCCGGATGAATGATGAATTCGCGAACCAAGTTTTCTTCATTGCAGGAGAAATGAGAAATATAGTCGACGGAAAAATGTTGTAACCAACTTGTATATTGAAAGGCGATTAATGATCTCGAACATGAACGCGCTCGCTTCGCTCGCACGTTAAAAAATCTCGATCATTAATCGCCCTCATTAATATACTAGTTGGTTAAATAACTATTTGGCACTAAGTATACAGGGAATTAAAGGTTACCTACTCTTAATCCTCCACTTGAGGAGAAGTGGCGCTTTCATTCCCTTGAGGAATCAAAGTGAATACTTATGGATTTTTTCCACGATTAGCTATGGAACTTATCATTATTCACTCTTTTTCAAGACGTGAATACAAAAATTTTGAACTTATTAGGAATAGCTTTTGGGTGTATGATAAATTGACATTCATCATACAGGGCGTGGAAATGAATTCTGAATTGAGACTCTATCACGAATCTGCGATTAGAGGTCTATAAAAATCACAAGTTTCCATCGTTCAAGTTTGAACCCCCTGATTGGGTATGAAAGTGTTGAAAAGGAATATTCTCAGATAAATTATGAACATACAAAAATGGATAAAGCAATACATTGAGAATTCGCATTCTTTATGTGATGAGAATATTTACTCTTTTTCAGTTAATTCAATAGAAAACAACTACTTTCCTGGCTATATGCCACGACGAACATTGAATTATATCTATTGAACACACACGATAAGAGTTCTTCTTCAATTCTCAATTTCGGAGGATTTTATTCTTTATTTTCCATGTTCCCCTTTTGAATGTTCATCAGATATAATTCAATGTTCGACGCGGCAAATAGCCAGGAAAGTAGTTGTTTTCTGTTGAATATTCAGAATGATGTGTGTATATACATATTTTTGTCTGAAGGAGAAAGCAAATTCTCAATTTCAGAAATTTTTATATTTTATTTTCAAACTCTTATCGTGTGTGTTCAATAGATATAATTCAATGTTCGTCGTGGCATATAGCCAGGAAAGTAGTTGTTTTCTATTGAATTAACTGAAAAAGAGTAAATATTCTCATCACATAAAGAATGCGAATTCTCAATGTATTGCTTTATCCATTTTTGTATGTTCATAATTTATCTGAGAATATTCCTTTTCAACACTTATTAGGAATAATTGCTGTTTTGCTCTCTGTGTAATTTTTGATGTTATTTTCTGATAGGTATGTATCATTTAGTCTCTATTCATGTATTGATAAAAAAATCTGAATTTTTAGTGATATTATTAGTTATTTATCTCAGTCTGTAGCCAGATGATCTAATCCTGACTACCATCGTACCTTATTTCATTCAAATTCTAAGAATTATTATGCACAGTGACTTGAAAAGTGCAATTATTCAAAAATTGTAACGTTGATAAAAAGCAACCCGTATGAGAATGAGTTTTGAAAATTAATGTAGGAGTATTTGTGACTAGTCCGAATCGATTGCTTGCATCAAAATTTTTGTAAAAAAATGCCTAGTCCGTTTTCTTCAATTTTGCTGGAGTTCTTGTGATCGCAGGAGGCTAAGGAATTGTGATTGATAATTTTGTTTGCTCAAAAAGTTTAAAATGTTGAGTAGTATACTATGAAACAAAAATCATGTGTTTTTCTAGTTTTGCCACTGTTACAACAACACATCACCTTATGGAAGCTTGCGAACATTCTAGGTCTTCTAGTCAATTCTCAAGAGATGTCAAATAGAGTGTGCTCGAAGAAAGTAAAAATTTAGTTACCTATTTATTATACAAGGGAAAAAAGTAGTAGATTTTAGCTCCAGGTTGTGTTGTCTCAAAAAGCGTGAGCTAAAATCTTATATTTTCCCCGTGTACAATACACTATTTTTTCTGTGACAGAAGAAAGGACGAATCAATATTGAGAAGATATTACATTATTTTGAAATCTGAAAATTATCGACGTGAAATTTTAAGTCTTTAACAGTAGAGACACCTGCGTTGTAGGCATCCTCATCATTCTTTTGAAGTAATCAAATATCTGATGTCACTTCTGTCAGTCTAATTCTGTGATTCGATTTCAAAAAATTGCGAATTTAGTGGTTGTTTAGTAATATACGTAACCGCGAAGTCGAATGGAAGATAAAAGTACTTGCAGTTCTTTCTCGGAGACGGTATTATTGACATTTCTTATTGGAATTCGTTTAGCATAAAATAGATCTTGAACAGATCTATGTAAATCTACTGAATTTTTGACAAGGTATTCACTGATGGAATAAAAACCGAACTGGCAAACCTGGTTCGCGCGGAGAGTGAGTTGACAACAGCTGTCAAACTGTCATTTGCTGTTCTCAAATTGATTATTCACGAAATCCAATAGATTTCACCGTGAATAGAACCGTGAGCGTTTGAGATCGACGAAAACATGTATTATTCACCTCGGCGAAAAATTCTCTCGCTTGATTGCAAGCCTCGGCTATGAATTTTCAGACACGACCATAATGGACAGTATTTCGTCCTTGGTACATAAATAACTATTTCCGTCTCATCAACGAGTGAGTTTAATGTTTATGGAATTGATCGGCAATGATTTAATTGTCTATTAATGCACGATTGTAGCATAGGCAACCAAACATACACCGCGTTCATTATTCACTGTTTATGATATAACTCACGTAACCTGTTTCTATTCTGTAACACAAGGAATGTATTTTCTATTATTTCTATGATGATTATTTCGATAAATGTCGAATGTCACTAATGTCAGTAACAAGGCTACTGGGTGATTCTTAGTTTCCGGATGAATGACGAATTCGCGAACCAAAAGTTTCCTTAGTGCAGCAGTAATGAGGAATATAATAGTCGTCGGAACAATTTAGTAACTCATATATTAAAAGGCGATAAATACACTAGTTTTTCATATAACTATTTGGTATTTACCTCCAAATACATTGACTTTCCGAAAAACATACAGAAATACAAAAAGTACCCTAAAGTAAAAGAGAGAATCTGAATTATGGCACTATCGAAAGCAGAGGCAGCACACAAAAAAGTCCAAGATGGTTGAAATTTGGTACAACCTCCAAAAGTGTACAACCCATTTAGTAATCATAAAGGTCTAATCGACCTGAATATTTAGTTTCTGAAGTGTGATAGGTGTTTTAAATTACAATTCATTATTATGAAATTTGTAAGAGAAAACTTAAGGACATGTAAAAAATCTCAAACTTTGACTACCTTTTTTTTTTTTTTTCTTTCTTTATCGCTTGGAGCGCACGAAAGGGAATCCCTATAAAGTTCAAAGAACATCGTGCGTTCCTAGGGAGGATAGGGACAGGAGGTAGGTATTGGAATTTTTTTTGAACTTTTGGAGATTATATGTTGTTGGGAATACTTCCACAGGCATATAATTATGTTAACATAAACTATTTTCCTTGAAAATATATCATCTTCCTGAAGTTCTGCTACAAAAAACTGATTCAACTTGTATGTTCATTTACGAATCAATTTATAGCAACACTGATAACAGTTTATATTCAGAATCATTTGATGTTTGTTGAGTGCGTCTTCGAAATTGATCAGATATTCGTGAAAATTTGCATTGTTGAATATTTCTTGGGATCAACGAACATATTAAATATAACCAATTAATGTTGAGGAAGGATAATATTATTGATGTTATGAGTTGAGAGGTACACCAAAAAACATGTTGAAAAATCAAGAATGAAAATATTTCATGACATAACCAGAGATTATACACACTGTATAATCACTGACATAACGGAAAATACTATTATGAGACTACAGGTAATAACATTCTAAAAAAATTTGTGCTATATTTACCACATTTTTTTCTAATTGGTCCTGCCAAGAATCCTGATGAACAGGCTTGGCGATATTGACGACAATATCGATTCTCTTGAAGTGTTTCTTTGTCCAGTTGAACGCATCTGGCGAAAAAATAAGGGGTGAATCATATTCATCAACTCGCACTTCAAAATAATATAAGCGAATATGGATTCCTTTTTTCATCTCTCAAAGTGCACGAAAGGAAATTCCTATACCTAGATTTGGTAGAGTGTTGTTAGACATTTTTCAAGGTTAACGACGGAAGGATGTGCTGACTGGGCCTGTCGAGTTCGTCTGACTGGTAGTGCTACAGTGATGAAATTATAGCAGAGGTTTATGAGGAAAATTTCCCGTGGAAGTATCTATATAAAAGTGAAAGGTCGCCGACTTTTCTACGGTGTACTAATGATGTCAAAGAGTTAGTGAGTGTGGCATCACCCACCAGGCGAATGGCTCTTCTCGGGATGGAATCTAAGAGCATCAGCCTATGTTTGGGTGGTGAGCCCCATACATGTTAACAGTATTCCGAAACTGACTGTATGTGAGCTTTGATCATGAGAAGCTGTTGAGATGTAAAGTAGATTTTCGCATGGAACAAGAATCGGAACTTTTTGTGGAGCAGCTTTTGCGATGGATCGAACATGATTTTCCCATGACAGAGTATTGCTGGGGGTTTTATATCAGGCATACTGAGTTCCGCCTTTCTAGAGAAAATACAGGTTTGTGTTTTGATGGCGTTGGATTCAACTAGGTTGTTGATTTCCCAGGCTGTAATTTCCGCATGATCTTCATTGTAGAACGCCAGAATTGATGGCAAGTGTATCTGAAGATACTCCGTCCAATACCACATGGAAGCGATCTGCCTGAAAGAATACTACATAAAAACTAGCATAGCTTTCTGGATAATTAATTTGGGTTTCTATCGAGTTATATCCAGATGATATTGATGTATTATATGATATAGGTACATTATGAAGTGAGTATAATATGCATGAAGTTGAGAGGGAAAATCGAAGGAAAAACGTACAAATCTGATCGTGTCATACTAATCAATGATATTTCAGCAAATGATCTTACTCCGTAACAACTTGATATTTGCCAGATCAGTCTTAATGAAAGCTGTTTTGTCTCCTCCATACTCCTTACTCAACTCACAGATGAGGTTTCTACCTTCTTCCTCGTCGGTATCTGCAATCATGATGGCCTTATTTTATTGGTCAGCAGAATTGCCCGCAGTGCTTCTTACTTTTGCTCCAGAAGAAAGTAGATTTCTGACACACATTAGTCCAATTTCCCCAGATCCTCCAGCTACCAGGGCAACTTTGTCAGCAATTCTTGAAGTTTTATTTTGTGACGGGAGAAATACTTCCCGTTTTTCTCCTGTACTGATATTTTTTTCAATTGTGCCATATTGTCGGTTGATACTAAAATTGTGCATCATTATTTGTATCTTGAATAATAGTTAGTACACCATGGTAGTAAAGGATATAATTATTACCCAAGGACCAAGATTATATCCCGAGGCTTCTGCCAAGAGGTATACCTTCCCGTGGTTATAATATCATTCACTATCAAGCTGTATACTAAATTTCTTTACCACTAGCAATATAATCATTAGAGTTCTGTGATACTGGAAGACAGTCCTATTGTCCCTATGATTCAATAATTCTAATTGAAATCTAGTAGCCATGACCATGATAGCAAATGACAAGTCGTTATTGATAAATACCTACTAGATTCGAGTGCCATACCTGCAAATCTCGCATCAGAACAGTGAATTTGGTATAATAATAATAGAGGTGGCTATGTCTTTATTGACTAGTTGTTCATAAAATGATGAAGACTACCTTGGTAATTAAAGCACACTTTACGCCTTGAAAAGGATTGAATGATATGATGGAAGGTTCTATAGCTAGTGGTGGAAAAAATACTATGAAGTTCTGGATTGAATCTTCGACTGTGAGAACATCAGTCTCAAAAGGGTTCACTAGCCATGAGGTTGCAGTTCATTTAACTTCGAGGTTATGTGATTTGCTCAGATTTGCCGAATGTTTACATGATATTTGGGGGTGTGTGTATTTTTTGAATATAAGAATGTTCATTCAATGATCTAATCTTGCAAACAGTCGTTTTCACTACAATTATAATGTAATTATAATGTATAGTTAAAAGTTGGTCAACTTCCTATTAGTGAACTATAATGTGATGAAAATGTATCAATGTGATGTAAGAACGTATTCTATGAAATATGAGCTTTCAACATCCTTAATTTATAATGTACCTAAGAAAAATGTAATTCTGATAAACGTTGCATAAATCTATGATATAATAGGATGTTGATTTCTTCAACTGAATTTATATGAATGTATTAATTCTAGTACTTACTGTGATGAGGCTATCAGATATTTGGTATTCCTGGAAAGAGAGGTTGTTGATTGTCAATATATAATTGAGAAATGGAATCATTTTGACTTTTTACCTGATATTTCTGTGAAGCACTGAATGTAATACAGAAAATTTCGAAAATAATCTCATTTTACTTCAAGAAGTTCGGAGTAACATTTTGATGGATTGTTTGATGATATTGTGTCACTCAGTTCTTATGCGTCAGTGTCAGACGTTAGCAGTAGCACACTGTAGTATTGGCATGTATTTAGTTCAGTTAATGAACGGGCTGTAGATTGTAGAAGTCATGAAAGGGGGCTGAATTTTTGACTTCAGGGATTTGCTTCGAGTAGGGTCCCTTGATGGAAATTGACGTTAAAGTCATCTTAACAGGGTACGGACAGATCATAGCTGCATTCTTTTTTAACGATCTAGACTTTAGTTTTGTCTACTGGCATCCTTGACATTGCTGTCACGTCACACCCATGGGCGCTACTTTGGCACTACAGAAAATCATTGAAAATTTCAATAATAGGTATGTTCAGGGTATTTACTTGTTGAGGAAGATTATATGGCGAACGAGTTTTGTAATAATGGTCCGATTCTATTCAAAATTGGAAGGTATCTAGGGTTTTCCGGGGTTGGAGATAATGATTGTTTCGTCTAAATTGGAAAATTCAAGATGACGGATCCAATATGGCGAAAGACATTTCTAATTATGATCTGATTCTATTAAAGAATGGTATCTGGGAGTTTTCGGGGTCGAACATTATGATATAATGTAATTTCATGCATTGGATTAGGGTTCAATTCTGGGAAAATTAAGAAAAATGATAAACAGAATAATTTTGTGGAAAATCAACAATTCTTAGAAATCTAGTTTCCTTTTCATAGAAGTCATATTATCTAATATTTCCTCAGGAGACACCGATATATCATATATCTTCATGACCATTCAGCCTTTTTTGCGCAGTTATACTTCTCAAGTAAGTTTTCAATGTTCTCAATGATGAGAATGACCTTTCAGCCGTACTGGTAATTATGGGAAGTGTTACAAAAATTTTTAGGAGTACATTTATATTCGGATATAAAGTTTGATCACAAACTATGTAGCTTTGCATGGCATTCAGTGGCCGGGTATCGATTTCTTTGAACTTATAATTCCATAAACATAATTCGCTTATCAAAATGGCTGCAGTAGATATTTTCTGACTCTTTGTCTTGGGGGAGGGGGCTCGAGCCCCAAAGCCCACCCCATGGCTGCGCCAGTGATTTCATGAACAATTCACTGTGTAACGAATTGTGGGAATTCTGAAGATTTAATTTTCCAATGAAAATATCAACCATCCTCATATAGAAGGAATGTATGAAACGGCTTGGATGGAAAATTAATTTGAGACAAGCAGATTTTTGGGGGTACGTACATCAAAATTCACTTCCTATAACAGCAGATTGAAAGTAAACTATATTTCAGGACCATTTCTGAACAGAATATTTTAGGATCCGTCAGAGAAAATCTGCTGTTCTGTTCATTCACAAAACAGACTATTTTAAAAAAATCTATCATTATTCACAGACGAAATGCAAGACAAAATTATCATGGAGAAAGAGCAATTGACTGCAAAACTACGTACGAAATTGAAAATTGGGGACTCAACTGAGAAAATCAAGTGAATTTCAACGTGATATACACTGTGTCCAAAATAAGGATGTCTACCAAGGGAATCGTTTTTATTTTTTTCTGACGTTAATTAAAGAGATATTGGAAAACAAGATTCTTTCACATTCCCATTTTTGAAGCTCTACAAAATAGCGTGGAGACATTACCCGTTCGACGTTTTGTTTAGCAGAAACCATCATCAACTATACCCCTTATCTTGAATTCACTATACAGGGTGTCCCATAAGTAATGGATCGAAAGAAGTGGGGTGGTATAGGAGGGGTCATTTGTAATCAAACTAACGGTATAATGTTGTTATTTAATTGTTGATGGTTCAAAAGTTGAATTATTCTGAAAATTGCGCCCCATTCGAAAAAAATTAATAACAAAAAGGCTGTTTTGAATAACCCCATATTTTAAACCATTTCGGAATCTGTAATAAATCGGCAACTTTTTCATATGATTGGTTATCTTCGTGGGGTAGTTTTTGAATCTGCCAGCGGCATTTAAAAATCGACTTAAATATTTCATTCGACGACAAAATTCAAGGAAAACAACATTTTTGTCAGGTTATCGATAAGAAGTAATACATGTCATAAAATTATTTCTGGTGGAAGGTGCATCCATGTGGATGGAATTTGTACAAGAAAAAATCACAAATGTGACATAGTTTTATTGTAATTAATTCTTTTTATAGAAATGAAAAAACATTATTAACTTTTGAATCATCAACAGTTGGATAACCACATATACGGTTAGTTCGATTTGAAATGCTCCCTTCCAACCCACTTATTTTGATCCTCGACTGATGGGACACCCTGTATATCATTGAATGACGTTCTCGATACCGACAAAACTATAACTATTAGTATATCCATATGCGTCTATTTTGTCATATCAAAATATTGTTACATGCATTATTCTCATTTTTATAACTGTTGTTTCGCAGTGCGATAAGGCACTTTTCGCAAAAAGTGCCTATTTTCATTTGCGCTATTAGGAAAATTGAAAAGAAAAAGAGCAGAATATATGTCTCATTCTTTCATTCACTCATGCATTCTAATCAAGAAAATAGAAAAGGACAGAAGTTCAGTTGTGTCCCAACTCACTCTAGTTATGACTGATCGAGTGAATATTCCAAAGAAAATAACGACTGTTATTTTGTAATTTTGTATCATATTCTAATCATCGCTGATAATATTTCATGATCCTTGGTTACCATTATTGTGTAACCTCAAGTATGTAGTTATTAAATGATATCTGACAAATATGTTGAAATCTTTTGAACTGAATGGAATAATTTTCCAAATCAACTTGAACAGTTTACACCCTGTCAGAATTTATTGAATCATCACATTTACAATACCACAGATAAAAAAATCATATACATAACTGACATTATTTCTTTGGTGGTTTGCTTTTTCCGCCCTTGACATCTTTCTTAGAAGAATCCTTTTTATTCTTGTCATCCTTCTTAATTGCACTCTTGCTCTTTTCATCTTTTTCATCATTTTTTTCACATGGATCTTCTTTCTTTTTACTGGCTTCTTCTTTTTTCTTACTATGTTCTTCTTTCTTCTTACCTTTTTCTTCTTTTTTCTTACCATGTTCTTTTTTCTTGTGCTCTTCTTTTTTCTTGTGATCTTCTTTTTTCTTATCATGATCTTCTTTCTTCTTAGGTTCTTCTCCTTTCTTTTCACAAGGATCTTCTTTCTTTTCACATGGATCTTTCTTTTTACAAGGATCTTCTTTCTTTTTACAGGGATCTTCTTTCTTTTTACAGGGATCTTCTTTCTCTTCGCAGGGATCTTCTTTCTTTTCACATGGATCTTTCTTTTTACAGGGATCTTCTTTCTTTTTACAAGGATCTTCCTTCTTTTTACAAGGATCTTCTTTCTTTTTACATGGATCTTCTTTCTTTTTGCAGGGATCTTCTTCTTCTTTTTCAGATTCATCTTTGGGTGGACAGCATCCTTTCAGATCTTTCGGTTTGTAACAATTTCGGTCTGGTATATCCACCTTGTAGCAATCACATCCTTCTGATACCCAAACACTGCCATTTTGACCATCCTTCAACATTTTAATCACTGCTTTACCAATTTCTTCAGGCCTGAAATAAAATCAGATGCATAAGTATTAATTATTATTGATTTAAAAAAATACAATGTGCTCCGCCAATAACATTTCACTTCAGTTTTCTTCGTGGTGATGAAAGCCCGATAATGTTAGGATTGATTCGATTTTGATACGGACGTATTCATTTGGTTTTTCCATCCACTGGAGATGAAAATTCTGATTTCTTAATGACAGCCTATACAGGGTGGGTCAGAATGAGACCGACAAACTGTATACGGATTCCTTGCCTCATTTTGAAGTTAAAAGTTTCTCTCAACGTATACAGGGTGTCAAAAGTACGAAAAAAATCATAGTTTATATTACGGAAAAACTGTACATTTTGGTATATAAATAAATTGGGTCCAATCCACCCTGTATATGCAGATGATAATTTTCTTCCAAACGGGAACAGAAACCCTCAAATTCTAGAAAATAGTATTAAATTATTATAGTACTATTAAAAATACCTATACAGAATATTAGTCACGATCTCAAAATCAAAAATGAAGTATTGAATAAAACTGAACACATAAAGTATCTTGGTATATCTGGATTGATCAAAAATTTAAATGGGACAAACATATAGAGGTTCTTATCAAAAGAATATCTCCAATTCCGTATACGAAGTTTGTCGGTATTATTCTGACTCACCCTGTATATTTAATAATCAGTAAGGTAGCGCCATAAATAAGGATTTTGTCCATATGCCGGAGAGTGCATGTGACATTGAAACATCTAGCTAGTCGACCCAATCACCTCATAACCCCTGAGTAAAATTCATGGAGTGTGTAAATCAAATGTTAGTACCTTCTCCTTTTCATGAGTTCAACTTCACTGAATGAAAATTATTCTTCCTCTCCCCAAATCAATACTTACATAATGTACCTGAGCGTATTATGATTTTGAGCCAAGGACTGTAATTCGGTCAACGAATAATTAAGTATGCGTGAAGGGATTCAGAATTTTCTGCTCAAGAGATGGGGTCGTTGGTGAATAATCGACCTAGAAGTCTCCGACTGTCCTCTGGTGAGTCCTTCCTGCACCACATCCTCGTTGATGAAGCATTCATCCTGGCAGCCAGAGGAAATGTTTTTTATGGTCACCTAAGTCGATGATGCTTGATGGAGGCCAGAGTTATTTGTTTTACTAGGCAGAAAAGCACAAGATTTAAAGCCGCGGCTGGCGTTTCATAGCCAAGGTGTAGCCGAGGCTAGGAAGCCAGCCAAGGCATTAAATCTACTTTTCTGCCGTGTGAAACATATAATTTTTTCTCTAAATTCGTCCAATTTCACGCAAACTCCAAATAATCCACCATTTTGTGTTCACCCAACGTCAGTGTCAATTTTGATTACCAATTTGATTCGAATTATTTCTTGGAACGTTGCATAGCAACGAACTTTTTCTGCCTAGGCAGTAAAAGTACCGTTTTTCTGCCTGTCAAGTGTCATATTCAAGCCACTTTTGAAGTCATTTGGAGAAATAGTAGATTGTTTTATTAGGATCAAAAGTGACACTTTGTTTGACAAGCGCATTTTGCATTTGCGAGGCGGAGCGTTTAGCGAAGCCGAGCGAAAGCAAAATTTGATCCGAATGAAACATGCTATTTTTTCTGCAACCGAAACAATTAACTCAAATAAACATTTGAAGTAACCACCGCAATGCCGTGCCATATGTATGCAATGCAACAAATATTGACGAATAATCCATGTGGTGAGAATATTCTACCTGCATTAACAGCAGGTTAGGTTTTCTAGGATGTTCGAATTGTAGTTTCAATATAAATAGAACCACAGAGTGACATATTTGTGTATGGACCAGGTGCTCTAATGGCAAATATAGCGCCAGTGCCAGGTATAGGAACAAGACATGGAAAATATTAGGTTAGTGAGCATATCAACAATGATAATAGTGATTATTTATTCCTCTCCATACTACACTGTGTTTGACTTGATAATCGAATGAAGCTAAACAATATCGTTGTTTGAGACAAAAAAACTATTGCTTGCCGTGAATATTCAAAAACAAGTTATCCATCCCGAGAATAACGAATGAAATACAGATCAAGCAAGTATTTGAATCTTGAAGGCTTCCCTGACCCTGATCAAAACAAAAATACTTAAATGAGATGTTTATAATTCCAATACTTAACTATAGTAAGGTGTATTTATATCTCCAGCATGGGTATGAAATGCCAAATCTGCTGAAATCGGAAACAAATCGTCTCAACCCAAATGACCAGCCGTCACAATGTTGTTTATTCTTGATGACGTCCAGTATATAATTTTTAGTTCCTAGGAGCTAAAGTTCAACTTTAGCTCCTAGGAACTTAAATTCAACTTTAGCTCCTAGGAACTAAATATGTTGCCTAGCAACATACCTATTTTTGTGTCAGTAATAGAAACGTCAATTTAAGAGCTAATTTTAGTATCAAAATGGACGACTTTTGTGTCGGTTGCAGAAAAATGATTTTATGAAGCTCCATAGCATTTGTGAAATGCAATTCTTTCTAGTTTTTCCAGAGCAGATGGGTCCATTAGTGGCCAGTAAACACCCCAGCTGCTTCTTAAATGGAATATTATCCTGTATAGGCTCTCCCTCTACCAGGTTTCACGTGGGTCATGTTACGCTAAGGTTTCGCCTTTTTGAATGAGTACACAGGTACAGATCCTGCATGAAATCAGTTGTGCGATCATACCAAATATTTCAACACACCTACCTGAGGGGGTCACGAAATACAAATCTCCAGGGTTCACTACCAGATCCAGAAGTAGAAACGGTATCAACTGGCCTGAGGAGGAAGGAGGAATTGGAGTTCATTTTGTCGGTGTCAAATTTTTTTTTCAGTTCCCACAAAAGTTCTTATGCCATTTTGCATAGGGTTTCTTCATCTTTTGGAGATTATGGAATGAAATCCCTATTATGTTCTTAGGAAAAAGTGCAGGCCTATATAGGAAATACAGGAAGAGAAGGTAGCTAATGGCAAGGAATTCCAATGCTTCAACGTTTTATAGACAAACGAATTTTAGTAAAGACTTGTTCGACAAATCACGGGGTTGACGAGTAAAGGACGTACTGACTGGTATTTCTAGTGATGGGATCATAACCGAGAAGTGACTTTTCTATGGTTTTCAAGTTATAAGCGGAAAAACAGAAAAAAAATGGCTTCTTGTCCTTGGACCTATGTAAGGCATTTGACACTGTAGATCATACAATTTTACTAAATAAATTATATTCAATCGGCTTCAGAGGAAGAATTCATGATTGGTTCACACATTATTTGACAAATAGAAAGCAGTATGTTGAAGTGAATGATCTTTCTGGCTCACTAAAGAATATTACATGTGGAGTACCGCAAGGATCAGTTCTGGGACCAATTTTATTTTTAATTTATATTAATTCAATATCAACTCTGAAATTGAAAGGAAAGCTAAAATTATTTGGGGATGATACAACATTGATTTATATATCCGAAGAATTAAATGATATCGAACGGGAAATCACAAGTGATTTGGAAAACATATCATCTTGGATGCAAATTCATAAGTTGACTCTTAATTATAACAAATCTTCATATATGTATATTTCCAAAAGATCAGTTAATATTTCGAATAATGCTATAACTTTCAACAATAGATTAATTAAATATACAGACGTGACAAAATTTTTAGGTCTCTATATCGACGAAAAATTATTATGGAATAAACATATAGACTATTTGAGAAATAAAATAAATCCGATCATAGGCATTTTATTCAAAATCCGAAATATTATTCCCATAAAATACTTGAAATGTATTTACTTTTGCCTCATTTATTCAAATTTGCAATATTTAATTTCTATTTGGGGGAGTACAAATATTTCACGTTTGAAACCACTAATGAAATTACAAAACAAATCAATTAAGTGCATTTTTCATCTACATTTTCTAGAACCAACGATAAATTTATACAAACCAAGACATTTTCTGAACCTGATTTCGTTATATCAACTTAAAATATGTTGCTTTATTCATTTCGCCAGGAATTAATTGAAAATATCAAATTTAGCTTTCAATGAAGTCAATACAGTCCATAATTATGGGACTAGACAATTGAATTACTTGATAGCAAATACATTCAAGTCAAACATTGGCAAACAATCTGTTTTTCACAATGGAATAATTTTATACAATTCATTACCGAATGAGTTAAAAAATATACATGATGCAAGAAGGTTTGAAATCAATCTTAAAAAATACTTGCTCAGGACAATTTGAAAGAAAAATATGTGGCATGATTTGATCACTTAGGAATGAAATATAACTTTAATCTTATAAGACACAATATCAATTCGTTTCCACTGAGTGGAATTCATTATAGTTAACCCTTTATTATTATTTTTTTATATGTATTTATGTATCCCTATCATAAACAAAAATGTTTCTTGGGGTAATAAAGACAATCAATCAAACTTCCACACTTAGCTCACCTCAGACACTTTTAGGATGTTTACTTCCCAACGATCCCAAACTTATCCCTCAAGTTGAAAATTCTGCCCCCCTCCATACACTCTACACCTTGTTTTCAGCATTTGTTGATTGGACTATTAGGCGCAATGTTCTCGTTGCTACAGCTTGTATAACCATTCATACCGTTTCTTTTTACTCTTATATTTTAAATTGCTCACCCTTGTGTGGGCAGTGCTCCCAAACTATTTGCTAACTCCTTTCCTAGATCGCCAAATCCAGGTAATCCTCCATCTGCAGCTTCCCAAATCATGTTAGTCTCTGTCACACCTGGACATACTGCCATAACTTGAACAGAAAATTTAATGTATATCAATATTGTTTTTTTTATCGCTTGGAGCGCTCGAAAGGGAATCCCTAAAATGTTTAAAGAACATCGTGCGTTCCTAGGGAGGATAGGGATAGGAGGTAGGTATTGGAATTTTTTTTGAACTTCTGGAGATTATATTATGTTGTTGGGAATACTTCCTCAGGCAATGAATTCCAGATATTGTACTTCAACAATGGAATAAAAATGAAATTAGTTCATCATTTTGGTATTGAATAGTGTGTATGATATTATGTGTCTTCATTTTCTTCATTCAAAAATATAATATAATAATGAAGGCTAATATTTTCAGCCTCACCAGTTGTAGTTAGAGCGTGAGGTCTTTGTCAAAGTCGAATGTCTCAAAATCTTGTCGGATTGCCTCAAAGGAGCGTACCAGGGGGAATCCCTATAATGTTCGGGGAACATTGTGGGTACCAAGGGAGGATAGGGAGAGGAGAGGTATTGGGATTTTTGGATATTAAATGTCTTTGGGAATACACTGTTAGGCAAAAAATTCCAAAGCTTTGCCGTTCTATGTATAAACGAGTTTTGATGAAGAGTTGTTCGACATATTTTTAGGTTGACGACGAAAAGGTGTGTTGACTGGACTTGTGAAGTACTAGAATTTATAGAAAATAATCATATTATAGAGATGCTAGCTGTACTATATGACAACTTACCGCTTATTAGGTAGTCAAGCAAGGATGGAGAAATATACCAGAGCAGATAATTGCAAGTAAACAATCTAGTTTTTTGACAATTTATTTAGACATTCCCCATTTTTGCCTTGAATCTTCGGACTTATTTTTTGTGTCCGATAATTTTTCTATTCAAAATAGTTATTTATTATACAAGGGAAAAAAGTAGTAGATTTTAGCTCCAGGTTGAGTTGTCTCCCGACGCGTAGCGGAGGGAGACAAAAAACCGTGAGCTAAAATCTAATATTTTTCCCGAGTATGATACACTATTTTCTTCTGTGACAGAAGGAAGGACGAATCAATATTGAGAAGATATTACATTATTTCGAAATATGAAAATTATCGACGTGAAATTTCAAGTTTTTAACAGTAGGGACACCTGCGTTTTATAGACATCTTTATCATTCATTTGAAGTAATCAAATATCTGATGTCACTTTCTGTCAGTTCAATTCTGTGATTTGATTTTGAAAAATTGCGAATTCAGTAGTTGTTTAGTAATATACGAAACCGCGAAGTCGAATGGAAGATAAAAGGACTTGCAGTTCTTTCTCGGAGACGGTATTATTGTATTATTGACTCATTTTTCGGAACTATAGCACAACAAAAGCCATTAACAGAGTATATATATGTGATATATATCCGGGAAAAAAGTACTCACTTTTTTCCCACGGGAAAAAAGTAATTTATGAAAAGTGACATTTTATAACCTGCCAACAGAGATGAAATGCCAAACTTTTTTCCCGTCAAAGAAAAAATGATTTTTATTTCTAGTTGTTCAACTTTATTGCCCATTATACTCCATCAAATGAATCCAGGTGGTTTGATTTCAGTTTCCTTCAACTTCCAAAAAGTAAGGAGGTTTTCATCTTTGAAATGCGCTTTTCTCGACTCAGTTTTTGTGACATTCCCCCTGTTCCCCCTGTGGTCTTCAAATCATATAAGGTCATATATTTTCAGGAGAATTTTCTGTTCTAAAATGAGCCAAGGAATGATACATGATATTCAAGAACACTGTCAATGTCAACAATTTCGATACCAAAATCTCCGATAATTGTGTGAACCACTATAAGACCATTCAGAAGAGTTTCAGTACCTTTCACTTTCGAAGTTTTGTAGAAATATTCATGTCCCATCGATCTGGTGAAACCAAGAATGAAATGCTTGGTACCAACGTACACTGGGCTACTATAGAGTGGTTGCAGACCTAAGATGGAGGAGGTGTTGATGATGAGACCACCGTTGGCGCAATTCTGGGCACCCATATATTGGAAGCCTAAGAGCGTACTTCGAACTAAACCATGCTGAAAATAATTATGTATTTACTTTGAAAAATGTAATATGAATATTTGGAAATCAAGCTAATCAATAGTCATAGTTCGTCTGGAACGCTACCATTTATGATGTAGATTGTAGAACACCAAAGCGCGAGCCAGCTTGGGAGACGTATAGCATTTGACAGATGATTGAATATACAGGATGTTCCGGTGATCATGTTACAAACTTCTAGGGTAGATGAAACACACGAAAATAAGAAAAAAAAGTTCATGTGAACATGGGTCCGGAAACGCTTCTTCAGGGAGCTAGGGCCCTTCGAAGATGACCTTCAAAAACTACTTTTCGTTATATAGCTTCGGTACTACTGCAGCTATCGCAACCAATTTCGAGACATGAGATTTAGTTCGTAGGTTCATCAATTTGAGCCTTCCGGATTTTGTCACCTTTAACCAGGGGCGTACAAACCAGGGGGTATTTGGGTAAATTTGACCCCACTCCTCTCAGGCTTTAATTTCTCACCATTTTTATATCTGATTATGATTCTCCAATGCCTTTGACCTTATCCTTGACTCACTCACAATTAAACCTACACGAGCAAAACTAATAATAAATTTGCAATAAATCATTCACGAGTACCAATGAAAAACTTAAAGTTTTGAAGTTTCAAAAGTACAAAATAAACAAGTAACACAAACAGGTTTAACGAGTGAGTCAAGGATAAGGTCAAGGTTTAAGACCAATAATTTATTATTGATTGGATTTAGCCATTTTCGGAGGAAACGGTGACAGATAGCGATTTTTACAAGAGTACCTTTTTTATGTAAAAGGCATTGGAGAATCATAATCAGATATAAAAATGGAAAGAAATCAAAGCCTAAGAGGAGTATGGTCAAATTTACCCAAATAGTCCCCTGGTTTGTACGCCCCTGGTTAAAGGTGACAAAATCCGGAAGGCTCAAATTGATGAACCTACGAACTAGATTTCATGTCCCGAAATTGGTTGCGATAGCTGCAGTAGTACCGAAGCTATAAAACGAAAAGTAGTTTTTGAAGGTCATCTTCGAAGGGCCCTAGCTCCCTGAAGAAGCGTTTCCGGACCCATGTTCACCTGAACTTCTTTTCTTATTTTTGTGTGTTTTATCTTCCCTAGAAGTTTGTAACATGATCACCGGAACACCCTGTATATTATGTATAATTTTTTGTTAGGAGATTCGGTTCCTCGGTACCATAGTATTATTTTCTTAGTCTCCATTAGCATTTTCTCACAATTTCATCTCTATAACTACTACCCTAGATACAACTGATATCATTCAAATTCGAAATGAATACTCACAATGTTTATACACAAAGTCTGTTCCCATCTGCAGTCTGCCAAAATACCTGCATTGTTAACGACTATGTCGATTTTACCAAACCTTTCCTTGGTACATTTGAAAATTTCTGAAAGAATGCGCATTAATTATCATATTTATATTTCAATGAAGGCTGCTTACTCTCCAAATCTTCTTTTTTTGTGACATCGCAAGGCTGGAAGAGTGCTTTATTTTCACCGTATTTATTATTCAACTTGCACGTTGCTTCCTCCATTGCATCCATTAGGACATCTCCAATGATTACAGCCTGTAAAGTGTGATTAGAAGTAATTCGATTGCTGACAATTTGTGGGATTGAGAATAAAATACCCAGCAAATAATTTTTTTTTTATCGATTGGAGCGCACGAAAGGGAATCCCTATAATGTTCAAAAAACATCGTGCGTTCCTAGGGAGGATAGGGACAGGAGGTAGGTATTGGAATTTTTTTTGAATTTTTGGAGATTATAAATGTTGTTGGGAATACTTCCACAGGCAATGAATTCCAGAGCCTAGAAGTCTGTTCAAGGATTCTTTTTTTTACACTTACGGCCGGTTGTAAGCATTCGTTAGACGGATAGACGATGAAAAATGCAATTTGCTTATATTTAAAGCAACAAATTACCTCATGCAGAACATTCTTCTACATTGAGAAAAAAATTCAGTGAAATTTCACTCAAGGTCCACGCGATCATGTTATTTTCGGTCCACGACTTATTGAGTTGAAATATCACCCTACTTGACTGTGTAAAATGGTAATTCATGCGCCGATTCAATCAAATTTGTCATGAACATTTCCATTGATAGGAAAACTTGATGAAATATCTATAGTTCGAGTTGAGAATTCGCTCCAAAATTTCAATCAGTAAATTCTCTCACAACTACATAATATGCAGTCACTCAAATTAATTTTCTACAGTGTATACAAAGTCCTACGGTCCTCGAATTATTCGAAAATTTCGAGTATTTTTGAAAAAGATCTATACATAGTTTGCGTCCCATTGACACGACAAAGAAATATTACACTTTGGTTGATATTTTGATATTTTTTGGTGTATCATTATGTCATGGCAACTGGTACATTCCAACAACTATTGGTTGTTACCATCAGTTGCTGTAACATGTGATACACCATTCAGAACAGCATGAATCACAGATATTTTTGAAACATAATTCAACTCTTAAGAGAAACCCATATCTTCCCAATGATATTTGACCAAAAATGTAAGTAGTGATCGTAGTTATTATCGAATAACTCGAACACCTTGACATTTTGTACACTTGTATATATTTTCAGCTCCGCCAAACTTTGCATGTATCTTCACAGCACACGCTGTATGGATTACAACAAAAAACATCTTCTGAGGAATTGAAAGAGTGGCAGAGTGATGAATACTAGAAGTAGCTGAGTTCTCTTAAATTAACATTCAGCCCCCTCGAAAAATTATCGACACCAAGAACAAACGATTCTCTATGATATGAACGAAGTTGAAATCTAATCTTTCGAGAGAAGGAAGTTTTTTTGTTGTGGTTTGTTATATACATCAGGGTGCTACTGAAAGGTCTGCACAAAATCTCAGCACGAAGTCCTGAGTTCAAAATAAGTCGATTTGAAACTTGATTTGAAGCAACTTACCACAGTCCGAAATTGCTCCGTTTCCGAGGTACAGGCTGGTGAATTTAATGAATGAAAATCGGCAAGCAACCTCCAAAAAATTATTTTGAAAAATCAATTTTTGCAATGCTCATTCACTGACTGAACCACATCCACGAAGATATCAGCAATTTTTTATTAAAAAAAAAATTAATTTTCCGGTGCGGTATCGAACACTAAAAACCGAAATATCTCGAGAACGGCTCAATTCAGTGAATTTCCACACGAACTATTTTTTCGCTTGGAAATATTCAGGAAAACATTTCCTCGACAAAAAAGTGAAAAACTACACTGAGAAAAAAGTTGTAGTCATTCCAAACCATAAGAAGTGCATTTGTGTGAGAGGGTGTCCGTATTCGGGTTTTGCCTCCCAAAAAGCCCTTGGTAACCAATTTTTGAAGTAATACTTCCAAAAATGTTGTTATAGTTTGAAAAAATCGATTTTCTTTTTTTAACTTTACCACCCTGTTTCTCGGAAATAGAGCAATTTCGGACTCTTTGTATCGGCTTATTTTGGCCTCAGTAATATGTGGTGAGATTTTGTACAGACCTTTCAAGAGCACCCTGTATACTTGAATTTAGAAAATGGTTTTGGAATGTGCTCAAGGCTTTATTCACGTTCAACCTTGTTATAGCTTCGTTTTTTCGCTGATTCTTCCTTCTACAAACCTATGCCTAGTGATGACTTCTAGTAGTCTAAAAATATTGCGCAAAAAAAAATTCAGATATGGAGTGAAACTTCAAGTTTTTCTCTTTCATAATGAACGAAAGTATACCTATTATAAAGCAAGGTGTTTTTAATTGATTCAACAATATTCATTCGATTAGATACCTATATCAAGTGTTGTTTCACAAGTATTTCTTTTGAAATGTTGAATATTGAATACAATATACGAAATGTGTGGGGGGCCAGGTAGCCGTGCGGACAGAGTGTCTATATTCTAATCCGCATTCGCTTGCCGATCGTGGGTTCGATTCCTATCGACTGCAGAAATTTTTCTGATGGCCCAAGCAGGCCCAAGGAAGTGTTTGGGATCACACGTTAAAAGGTAAGGCCCCCGTCATTCCTTGCTCGCACAAGTCTTTCGGAGACTGCTGAGGGTTGCTCGTAAGGGTGCAGCCGAATGACGGATATAACAATTTAACAACAACAATTTCAACGATACACATGCACGGAGATGAGGGTAAATACTTGAGGACAGTATCCCTTCTTGAGACATCAGCACCCTTGCTGGAACCATTGAAATGAGGGCAAAAATGTGATATTCGTTTAATGATCTCTGTCTTTCTGACAAAATAGATCCCTCTTAATTCATTATCACCCCTGATTTATGAAACCAATTTGGTTCCTCAGCACTTATGTGCCTGTTATGTCCATGAATATCCCCATATCTATAATCAATGAACATTTTTTTGGTCTATTGCTTTCGCATGAAGAAGCATTCACAACTTTGAATGTATTTTCAGCTTTTGCCAAATAAACATAACCCAACTTTCCATTTGAGGACATTCAATCTCAAACAAAATTATCTTGCGGCACATGTTTTGTTATCAATCAACCAGGTCTTCGTTCTGGCCGTCTTTCTCTTATTATTTCCTGGTTTCATGTCTGTTATTATGCACTATCCCTTTGGAAAAAAACTGGTGTGCTTAGGACCACACGTCAGAAGTATGATAACGTTCATGGACGGTCAGTATTTCCAATATCTTTTGGACAATACGGGGAAAATCTGAATGAAGTAATATTAGTTCTATGTAATATGTCCACGTATTTGCAACTAGGTACAGCTAAAAATATTGTTGGATCAAGAATGAGGAATTTCAAATTGCATCTTCTCCAAACTATCAAATACTCGCTCTGTGTATTATGAATGATCGATGATTCGGGCGATGATTAGACTAACCGTGACTTCGATGCATGTATAAGCTATGCACAACCAACCAGCAGACTCGAGAACACATCATTCCGGTTTCCCTGTTGTTTGTATAATTGTATACTTCGGTACGCGGTGATCGTTACGCGAGTTTGCTGTTTTACTTCCATCCCAGAGAACCCCCACCAGCCGCCGTCGATGGTACGTTGACCGTAACGCGAGTTAAACGTCTCACTCCCATCTCAGAAAGTGCCCAACCGGCCTATAGAAGTTATCACTTCAAAAAATATCTTCGCGCCCGATTGCTTCCGACATCCTGGGTCTTAAGCTTTCCCAGGGATAATTTATTTAATTAGTTGAAACCAAATAATGTTCATGAACCTTGGAAAATTTAAGAGGGTTTCTGTTCAAATTGTTTCAACTTGCCTGTGCTCCTGCTTTCAAAAGATGTTCAGCGATGTTGAATCCGATGCCTCTAGCTCCTCCTGTAACTATCGCTACTTTACATTTTGCTGGAGGATCACAGTCAGAAAAGCCTCTCATTTGGACATGCGGTGTGTAATTGTTGATGCAATTCCATCTGAAAATGTCAATTCAATTTTATGGACAGGGGTCATGGACTGGATGGTGTGAGAATTTCCGAAGTCTTACCTGGAAACTTTGTACTGAGCTGCACACTGGTACTGCACATTTTTCAACAAGAATTTATTCGTGTTCCTCAAATTAAAACTCAAAGCCATTGTGTATACGGAAATTTCATAGAAAAAAATGATATCATTGAAGGAGTGAAAAGAATGTCATATTTGACAACAGTGATAGTTGTAATAAGCACATTACGATATCTTCGAAAAATACTGGCTTATATACTCGATGTTTCTGAAATCAAAATGTGCTTCCAGATATTGAAATGGTCTCTCTCGCTCATCGGACTGTACGAAGTTTATAATAGTCATGTGAGATTTGGGAAAAAAATCAAAACTCATTGGAGTATTTACCTGTTTAATATATGTAGGTTCTCAATACCTTTTGGACCATCGTAATATGGTGTCGTCGATCAAAATTTTAACCTTCCTCTGAATACTTGACGAAAATTTTTATAGCTGATGATGGCTTAACAGCCGAAACAGCTTTGCTAATCGATGATAAAAATATTCACACAGGATACAACTTCATTCATTTAATATATTTTATTTATAACTTACCCGGGAAAACTCTTTACTATATTCATTTTCATATTGCTTCAGCAAACTAGTAGTGATGTCCATAATCATTAACAATGCGATTGAGATATGGAGGTATTAGGCCAAGGTCGATAATTTTTCAAAACAGAAGAATCACAGTAGAATGAAACCCATTGAAAAAGGAAGAGATTATAACAAAAATTGAAGAAAAAACAAATCCCTGTCGATCTGAGGTCGGAAAGTGAAAGGGAGTGAGCTTTCAAGGGTGAAAAACGGTTAATCTCGATTTCTGGCAAAACTACAAGCTCTATGGAAAAAAATTGAATGGCAGAGTTGTAGGTTATAAAAATGTCTATAACCTTTGGAATGTATTGCTAGTGGTGAAAAAAATGCAATTTTCATGCACCTTGGTAGTAAAGAATATTATTACTGATATGCTTGACTACCTTGGTGTATAATAGTATATTACATAACTAGTGTGGAAAGTGACATATTTCGCGCATTTAGCACGATCTCCAGAGCGGCGAGCGCGAAAACGAAACGAGCGCAGGAAATGCACTTTCCAACGACTTTTGTACAGTATTTTTCCTACGACCACAAATATTTGTATTATATTTCATGAGTGTTTATAAGACCAGAGTAGGGATCATGTTTCTAATCATATTCGATCATATGAAGGTGATATCATTATCATTATTATTTAATTTTACTTCAATATTTAAATGACATCATTAGTTTAACGTTGACTTAACATTAACTTAATATGAACTCAACATTGAATCAACATTAACTTAACATCAACTTAACTTCCACTTAACATCAACTCAACATGAATTTATCAGTTTCTCAACATTAACTTCGAATTAACTTAACATTAACTCAACATCAACTCAACATTAACTCAAAATTAACCTAACATTGACTTAACATCAACTTAACATTAACTCTATAATTATTCAACATTAACTCAACATCAAATCAACATTAACTCAAAATCAACTTGACATTATCTCAAAATCAAATTAACATCAACTCAATATCAAATTGACATTAACTTCACATTAATCACTAAATTGCCAATACATTGACATTAATTCAACTTTCAATTGAAACTAACGTGATTTCAACTTTTCATCAACTAACATTACGTCAACATTAACGACAATAACTCATGTTCAATCGACACTAACTTTTCATCAACCTGAGCATAACTTAACTTACCATAATTCAGCATAATAATCATTCATTGGTACATCATAATCTGTAGACCCTGTTACTGTGCGATTTTCGAATATTTCCACCCATGTGAACGAGTCACTTTCTCAATAACAAATCAATGTGTTTTGTGCTGTTTTCGATTTGATTTGATTTGAAAGATTTATTTAGCTTTCGCTAGTTTTCTCATCATATTTTTTACAATTATTATAAACATATTTACAAAGTATAAATTCTTGAAATAACTATTAACTATACTTATAAACTATACTAAATCTTAAAGTAAACTTTTCGTAACATATTCTTAAAAATTTTAATATTTGGTGCAACTTTGACAATAAGTGGAAGGCTGTTGAAATGATGCAATCCCTGGACGAAAAGAGATTTTTGTAGAACATTCGAATGACATCTTGCTATATGGAAATTTTCTCTTGACCTGACGTTATATCTATGCATTTCCGATCTTTTCACAAGGAAAAATTGCAGATACATAGGAACCTGTTTGTTCATGATTTTGTATATTAGTACTAAATTTGATTCTTCGATCATTTGTTCAACATTTAGAAATTTCAGCATCCTAAGCATATCTGTAATCTTTGTGTGTCTATCACATTGGAGTAATATTCTCATACACTTATTTTGCAGCTTTTGAATTCTCTGTATATCACTTTTTGTACAAGAGATAAGTAAAGACATACAATATTGAAAATGTGGATAAATAATGGTGTTATATACTACTCTTCTAGCCCAAAATGTTAGTTTTCTAGATATTCTTCCATAATATCCAATTTTTTTCCCTAATTTTTTACAAATATTATTCACTTGAGGACCAAAGTTCAAATATGAATCTACTTGTACCCTACTTTTCATAGGTGGTCGTAGAAAAATAACTATTTTTGTGTAGTATGGTTAGATTAGATCATTCGTACCAAAATTTCACTGTGTTAAAAATTTCACTATTAGAAAACCTAACAAAATAATCCAATCGATACTCAATGACACCTCATTTCGAGAAATGTTCGAGGGAGGAATATAATGATATATCGAGGAAATATCAAATTTTTCATTCTTGTTTCCGAAACGAATTTACTCCTGTTCCCACCATAAAGAAGCTAAGTGAAAATTTGATATTTTTTTCGATATCTATATTTACCTTCAAACATTTGTCACTGACTATCGATTGAATTTTTCTCTTAATAGTGAAATTTTTTTGGGCAAATCATCTGATTAACTTGTGAACCATTGGAAATTGGATTTTGAAGTTTGGTAGGTAGCAAGTATACCAAATTGCCCATTCATCGACAGATAAAATATTGTTTCATTACGTCTGGTTCAATCGGAAGAAACACCAACTTTTAATTTTCAAATAGAGCAACCTGTACTTTTGCATGTTTGGATTCAGAGGATCGTTTTAAACACTAGAAACTTCCTTCTGATCAAACTGTCTCATTTCGAAATTTAAAGTCCGAAAGTGATAGAATATAGTAGTTTAATCTTTGGTAGAAGTCCATATTGCTCAAAGTGAACTGAAATTTTCCAAAGGAAGGAAGGAATGGTCGAAGTCATCTCCAAAAATTTTAATGGTTTTGTTACACAATCAGAAGGGACATCGAATCTAGATTTAAACACGTGCTGGCTGTTTATCCCATCAATTTTATTGATATTTTCTTCTAGTAGCGCTCTGATAAGGGCACGGGGAACCCCTTTTTCAAAAAACCCGTTAATTTATGGTTCTGGCAATTACCCTTCATATATACCATTTTGGTGTATGAATTTTCGATAAGATGACGGGGCCCTTTATTTATTGAGCACCCGTTTTTTCATTTATAAACTCGATTTTTCGACTATGGGCATTGACAACAATTTCACAACTAGTAGCATCGACAATCGACAACAGCAAGTCTGTATGAATAATGTCAGCTCGGATTATATGTCTCTAAGATATGGAGTCCCACAAGGGTCTATACTTGGCCCATTACTATTCTCTATATACTCTTCTCATGTTCTTGTCAAAATCCAAAACTGTGAGGCGCATCTCTACGCTGATGACACTCAGCTATACCATAGTTTTGAGCCTCAAGAAATAGAAAATGCCTGTGCAGTTATGAATGAGGACTTAGAAGCTTTTATTAATCATGCCACTGATCCCTGCCTAAACTCATGCTGTTCGGAAGTAAATATCATGGGCAAAAGTTACCGATTGAAATCAATATTAATATAAATTTATGAGAGAATAGTGCTGGTGAATGAAACAAAAAATCTGGGCGTAGTAATGGATTCTGACTTGAGATTCGAAAAGCATATAATAACATTGATACAGCGTGCTTACTCTAATATTAAATTGATCTTTGGTAACCGACATCTATTTCCGCAGGCAGAACAACTACTTTTCATCAAATAAAAGTGATTTGGTATACTTGCTACACACCAGATTTTAGAATCCGAGTCGAATGATCCAGACATTTCGATTCTGGCCGTTTCTGACCATTCTATGACCATAGATGGAATAGCCATAATCTCAAATGTCATACAATTATTCCATTGTTTACGAATGTAAAAATATGAACAACACCATTGGAAACAACTTTTAATTCATCTTATATAAGTGGAAAACTGTGTTGAAAAATACAACCATACAGCAAAATGAACATAATTTAAAGATCACAATAATTAGTTTGGTACTTATCAACAGTTTGAACATCATCAATGGATCATCTCCTAAATCAATTCTTGCGTAGAGTTGTCCTTTCTGGGATCTCCACTTCGTAAATGGGCTGACCTCCTTCTGATACCCACACACTACCATTCTCACCCTCGGTGATCAGTTTGATTAAACCCTGAGCCACATTTTCAGGTCTGCAAAAAATAGTGATCATCTAAGGATTTGACAAAACCATATGATTACCAATGTAAATACTCAAAAAGAGGAATCATAATCGATATTAATTATTTTGATCCATTCTTATAAAGCTGTGAAACAAGAAAAAATATTTTAGAGGTCTTAGAAGTCTGAGAGATGGCGTGAGACAATATGGAATCCTACGAATGAAGATAACTACTAGGAACTGCCCGATCATTCTGGAAGTGAAGCCCTAATCAAGGCACCAAACAGATTACATACCTACTCCGCAGTGCTACCGTTTTGTGAGTAAAAACCCTATTTGCGAGCATTTTCAAGGATGTGGAGTGAAAGTGGACCAATGAAAAATCTGTGAGGATTCTGAGATTTCAAGAGATTCTGCGAGTATTTCGAGCGAATTGATCCTTTATAGTACAAACATGCCTCAAGAAGCCTATGGGTCAATCTTCCTCTGCCAATCTTCAATCTGCGTTAAATCAAGGTTGGTAGAATCGATGATTTACAATCACAGTCCTACCAACCTCGAGTTCAGTTATCATATCAGATCTACCTAGAGTCACTAAATGGTATAATTGGTATAGTATCTTTCGAGGTTGGTTGATCAGTAAATCATTTTCATTCATCAGTTCAACTAGCGCAGAAAAGGGCCGGCCATCAGACCTATATTTAAATTGAAAAGAACAGACTCATGTAAACCATACTTCAAGAAACATTCATCATTGACTGTTCCGCGTGTATATTTATAAACTCGATTTTTCTACTATGGGCATTGACAACAATTTCACAACTAGTAGCATCGACAATCGACAACAGCAAGTCTGTATGAATAATGTCAGCTCGGATTATATGTCTCTAAGATATGGAGTCCCACAAGGGTCTATACTTGGCCCATTACTATTCTCTATATACTCTTCTCATGTTCTTGTCAAAATCCAAAACTGTGAGGCGCATCTCTACGCTGATGACACTCAGCTATACCATAGTTTTGAGCCTCAAGAAATAGAAAATGCCTGTGCAGTTATGAATGAGGACTTAGAAGCTTTTATTAATCATGCCACTGATCCCTGCCTAAACTCATGCTGTTCGGAAGTAAATATCATGGGCAAAAGTTACCGATTGAAATCAATATTAATATAAATTTATGAGAGAATAGTGCTGGTGAATGAAACAAAAAATCTGGGCGTAGTAATGGATTCTGACTTGAGATTCGAAAAGCATATAATAACATTGATACAGCGTGCTTACTCTAATATTAAATTGATCTTTGGTAACCGACATCTATTTCCGCAGGCAGAACAACTACTTTTCATCAAATAAAAGTGATTTGGTATACTTGCTACACACCAGATTTTAGAATCCGAGTCGAATGATCCAGACATTTCGATTCTGGCCGTTTCTGACCATTCTATGACCATAGATGGAATAGCCATAATCTCAAATGTCATACAATTATTCCATTGTTTACGAATGTAAAAATATGAACAACACCATTGGAAACAACTTTTAATTCATCTTATATAAGTGGAAAACTGTGTTGAAAAATACAACCATACAGCAAAATGAACATAATTTAAAGATCACAATAATTAGTTTGGTACTTATCAACAGTTTGAACATCATCAATGGATCATCTGCTAAATCAATTCTTGCGTAGAGTTGTCCTTTCTGGGATCTCCACTTCGTAAATGGGCTGACCTCCTTCTGATACCCACACACTACCATTCTCACCCTCGGTGATCAGTTTGATTGTGAAACAAGAAAAAATATTTTAGAGGTCTTAGAAGTCTGAGAGATGGCGTGAGACAATATGGAATCCTACGAATGAAGATAACTACTAGGAACTGCCCGATCATTCTGGAAGTGAAGCCCTAATCAAGGCACCAAACAGATTACATACCTACTCCGCAGTGCTACCGTTTTGTGAGTAAAAACCCTATTTGCGAGCATTTTCAAGGATGTGGAGTGAAAGTGGACCAATGAAAAATCTGTGAGGATTCTGAGATTTCAAGAGATTCTGCGAGTATTTCGAGCGAATTGATCCTTTATAGTACAAACATGCCTCAAGAAGCCTATGGGTCAATCTTCCTCTGCCAATCTTCAATCTGCGTTAAATCAAGGTTGGTAGAATCGATGATTTACAATCACAGTCCTACCAACCTCGAGTTCAGTTATCATATCAGATCTACCTAGAGTCACTAAATGGTATAATTGGTATAGTATCTTTCGAGGTTGGTTGATCAGTAAATCATTTTCATTCATCAGTTCAACTAGCGCAGAAAAGGGCCGGCCATCAGACCTATATTTAAATTGAAAAGAACAGACTCATGTAAACCATACTTCAAGAAACATTCATCATTGACTGTTCCGCGTGTATATTTATATTCATAGCTGTGTATGCTATATTGCAGGAAATATAAAGTTTTCAACCAGGAATTGTGACAATCACCGTGACCAAACAAGGCATGGTAAAAAAATAATTATCCCGAAACCTTCGACTAGCCTATATGAAAAGACTCCTTCTCTGGCTGGAACAAAATTATTCAATAATTTACCATCTGAGCTGAAAGGTATACAATTACAATTACAACCTCTCCAATAAAAAAGTCAGAGAGTTCTTGGTACTGCATAGTTTTTATACTCCAACTCTGAATACCTAAGTTATGAGTGAACTGGGAATACAGTTTTAATTTTTAATTCTCAATATTCAATTCTTAACTTTCTGCATTTGAATGTTTTGATTGTTAATTTTTGATATCTAATTGTTAACTTTGTCCTAAATGTATTTTGTTTGTGATTCTTCTATGAATGTTATGATGCAATCACCAGAAAGCCAAATACTCAAAGTGGAATGCAATGATTACAAATAGAGAGAAACTCAAAGCCATTACCACAATAGTTCTCTCGTTATCTACCATTCCGTTCATTTACTCTCTGATTATTTCATACTTCTCGACTGACATGTCCTATTTCATGTATATGAACACAAAGGCTGAATAAATATTCTATTCTGTTCTATTCTATAAATTGTACTCATTGAAGAAACCTGTACACCTAGCTTATTGTGCGTTATGCCTACCTTTGTGGAGGTAGAGCACCTAATCCCTTAGCCAAATTCTTCCCCAAGTCCGGATAACCTTTCAAAGCAAACCTATTGGCTTCCGATATCAAAGGAGTGTCAGTTACCCCAGGGCACATGGTCAGGAACTGAATGCCTGTCAGGTTGTAGAAATAGGGCGATCCGAAAGACCTGTCGAGACCAACCACGAAATGCTTGGTTCCGACGTAGATGGGGCAGCCTTCAAGCTCTTGTAGACCGAGGATGGAAGCAATGTTGACGATCACTCCACCTTTGCCTCCGTTGTTCTTCCCCATATATTTCATACCGAGGAGAGAACCTTGCACCACAGCGTTCTGAAAACCAACAATGTACAATGGGCGAATGGACTGAAAATGAATAACTGACATTCAATTACTCTACTGTGTCGTTTGGAACCTCAATTAATTTTTGCAACACTTCTCAAGTTTTTTATGTATATATGAGTACATGCGTTGCTCGAAATTGTTGAATTTCAGAGCTTATTTCAAACGAACCTTCATGGCCACCATTTGGCGATACGTCGAATAAATGATATTGGCTATATTCCGAATGGTCAGTACTGTCAGAGTAAATTTACTGATTCTGCTGAAAATCTGTGTCCCGAAAAAAAATACAGTGCTGTAATTCGGAACACGTTTTTATGGTTTCTATCAGTAATCAGCAGCAGTTGATCAGCTAGTGAAATTGGAAGATCATTCTCAGAGTCAATTATTCCAAAAAACGGCATTTTCTGTTATTAAATATGATATTATTGATAAGATAAGACTTGAAATGTTCAAAAAGGAACGTAAATCAATGTGAAATTCCTTCCGCCTCTAGAATAATGACAGTTCACTGAAGCCACACTACCGTTTGATAGTCAGCAATTTCAGCAGAATGTTGAGTCGCAATATTTGGAATGAATAGTATGTCTACTCACAAGTATCTTTCCTTTCAGTGAATTTCTTTGATTGCGGAATGAAAAATCAGCAGATTCAGTACTGTCAGTTGAATTCGGAATATAGCCACTATAGTTCGTTCTTGACTGTTTAGAGCAACCATCAGCATGTCCAAATGTTACTTATTCTCCAGAAAAAAATATGATGTTAATGTTGGAGAATAGACAACTGAATGCACAACTGACAAGACCACGCCCACAAGTCTTGCGCCATGTTGTCACGTTCACCGATTCAAATGTGTGAATTAGTATAATTATTATTTACACAAATTCTATTTCGATGTAATTGAATTTTTTTGCTAATTAGGACTATTTCCAATACTCAATTGAGAATTCATGAATTCTTGAATTACTAAAATTTCGGAAGTTTCCAATCGCATTTTCTACTTACAACATCGTGGCGTTAGTTTTCACGGGCGGTAAATTTCTAGCGGTTTGAAAATTACCGTGGCATTATTGATAATTTAAGCACCTGAACATCGACCGAAAAATACTTGAAAAATATGAAATTGTAAGGTATTTGATAGATGATTTCATTTAAGAAATAAAAAAAGTTGTGAAAACGTCCACCAGGGAATAAGTATTGTAAACAAACCATATCTGCGAATTCTTTGATAGCAAACCCCTAGTACGAAAGATGAACAAGAAAACCCTAGCATTTTGAAATTGAAAATTCTAGAGGATTTTCGAGTTGGTTAGCAGGCAATGCAACACAGACTGTCCAGACTTTTCACTGTCTTGGTAGCCGGGATTGGCGCAGTGGAAGAGCGTCCGTCTCACGACCGCAAGGTCGTGGGTTCGATTTCCAGCACGGGCAAGGAACTTTTTTCAATATTTTATTTACGAATTAAATATTGTAAAGTTTCGGAGCATCGGCTGGGGATAGTCCTGCACGATTCGCTGTTGCGTTCCAATTAACAGTGCTGCTCCTAAAGTGGCGCATGGAGTTAGTAACAAAGCCTACACAGAACACGCAGAAAGATATGATGATGTGGTTGTGAGCATCAGAGAAGAAGTAGGACGGTGTATGTAGGTGGGTGTGGAAAACTACCAGCTGAGCGTGAGAGCGGGCCAGCTGCTTAAGTAGACCTCGGTCTCGGGGGTTAACGATGATAGTTAGCAGGCCTGCCACTGCGCATATGGTAGTGAGTACATTACTAGCCTACAAAACACAGCTGAAAAACTCTGAAAAAGGGAGCTGATGGGCGGTGCCTGAAAAGGATGTTAGCCAGCTCTCTTGAGCGAACCACATCAGTCATTGAAAACACTTGGGGTTGGCAAAAAGGTCCCATTGGGGACTAGTTGCTGACGTGGAAACGTCCCCCACCAGTACCAGTACCAGTTTCACTGTCTTGGCTCACCATCAGAGGTCCATTGATTGCACTGATCATGAAACCACTTTGATATTTTCACAGACTGTTCACTGTCTTGGCTCACCATCAGAGGTCCATTGATTGCACTGATCATGAAACCACTTTGATATTTTCAGGTGTTGCGTTAGTCTATGACCTTTTGTCTGTCTGTAGCGCAAACCATAGATCTAAATACACGTGCAATAACTTGGGTCAATGAATTACAGTTATGATTTATTTATACATATTGAAACTTTTACCACAGTTGAGAGAAGTGCTTTTACTCCCATTTCGAATTCAGTAACTGTCGAGGTTTCGCAAGTCAAGAAAGTGTATCATGCATCTGTTAGGCTTGAGATTATATAAAAAAGATGATCAGTGATGGTTTTCTTTCTTAGATTAACAAAGCGGACCCTTCAAAGGTGTATCCTAAATGACCCACAGATACAGTATGAACAACTCGTATCTCTCTTCCATTGTTGAGTTGAAGGTTTGATTCAAGTATGAATAATTCCATGAGCCGCTGTGATTATTGTGTCATTATGACAGCGAAAAAAGTGTGTCTTAACTTTTTATATTAAGCTAAGCATATTCACCTTCTACTTTAGAAATATATTTTCTTATGTTTGTAGAAAAAATTGTATTTTCAAAGTGTTCGAAATACCAAAATAATTATTGATTTGTTCTTAACATCAGCAGCTCGTTTATCTTCGTTGAACTTTCAAGTGCATTCTCGTTCAAGTAGGTACCTATTACATTTTTGCTGGGCCTACTGAATCTATTACTCCATTGTAAAATACCGCCTTTGCCATTTTAGAGGGCACGAGCGCTATTAAACGACACAAGAAGTGTTTGATGTAGGTATAGGATGTAGCTACTTACGCAATTAATGGCAATTTCCAACTCCCAATTCGCGTCGTTCATTATGCCAGCATTGTTGATTACCAAATCCAGCTTTCCGAACTTTGACACGGCGAGTGCGAATGCAGCTGAAATAAAATCACATTTGACATTGATGAATAATAATAATTGCATATTTGGGTGAACCGCTGTGACATAGATTTGATAACGCATGAAAATTGGATGTGAAAACGTTATACATGGCATGGTTATCAATCATTTCAGCAAATGAAACCCATGAGTAGTGAGTAATAAGTACGATGCATTGTAGGAATCGAAAATAGTTATTGAACAATACTGGCTAATGAATACGCAGGGCGTTATTCAAGTATCTGGCCAAACTCCAAGAGACGATTACTCCGGTGATTCTAAGACAAAAAGCTTATACAGGGTGTTTCACAGGTAAAGGGAAATATTTCAATGGTAGATAGGGGTCACCAAGGTGGTTCTGAAAATACCATATTTGATAGGTCTTAGAGTTTTCATAACGGAGATACAGAGCGATTTATCGATTTCGAAAAATTATTCATTCGTCTATAAGTATTGAACTACCCAGTATATTTTTCTAAAATTTGGTATGGAGCTTAAACTTGGGACATTGAATTCATTCACCTATCGGGCGAAGTGAAAATCCAGGTTCGACTTCAGGAAAAATTCACATTTATTCGAAATATTAAAATAACACACTGTATGTATGTATGTATATAACTCTCTTTCCATTGTATTATATTCTATATTATTTTGTTATATTGGTGAAAAAAGTCGATTATTATTATTATTATTATTATGTAATAATTGACAGAGTTCATCAAAGGAATCGTGAAGAGGAGGAAAAACTGAACTGGATTTGATGCTTTCTGTTTTCCCGCCACCAATTCTCAACGTAACAATCATAAACAGAAAGCTGAAAGTATGTCAATTTGAAGAGTATTGAAATTATGAAACCAGTGTCCATTATGATTATTCGATATATTTTAGTCAAAAAATCGCTCGAAAGACCTTACTAAGTTTCACAGTTTTCATAACGGAGATACAGGGTGGATTATCGGTTTTGAATAATTATTCCCTCGTCCATAAGTATAAAACTACCCAGTAACCTTTTCTCAAATATGGTATGTAGCTTACTTGGGACGATGGATTCATTAACCCATCAGGCGGAATTATTATTCGATAATTCACCCTGTATCTCTAGCATAAAGACTATGAGACTTTTCCTGAAGCTGAACCTGTATTTCCATTCTGCCTGATAGGTCAATGAATCCATCGTCCCAAGTAAGCTCAATACCAAATTTGAGAAAATATTACTGCGATGGGTAGTTTAATACTTATGGACGAGTGATAATTCACCCTGTATCTCGGTTATAAAGACTGTGAGACTGAGTAAGTTCTTTCGAACGATCATTCAACAAGAATATATCGAATAATCATAATTGAAAGTGGTTTCATAATTTTTATACTCTTGAAATTGACATACTTTTAGCTTCCTGTTTATGATTGTTACGAGGAGAATTGGTGGCGGGAAAACAAAAAGCATCAAATCCAGTTCAGTTTTTCCTCCTCTTCACGATTCATATTTCGAATAAATGTAAATTTTTCCTGGAGCCGAACCTGGATTTTCACTTCGCCCGATAGGTGAATAAATTCAACGTCCCAAGTTGAAGTTCCATACCAAATTTTAGAAAAATATACTGGGTAGTTCAATACTTATAGACGAATGAATAATTATTATTCGAAATCGATAAATCGCCCTGTATCTCCGTTATGAAAACTCTAAGACCTATCAAATATGGTATTTTCAGAACCACCTTGGTGACCCCTATCTACCATTGAAATATTTCCCTCTACCTATGAAACACCCTGTATAAACATATGCCGTAAAATGCTTCGTTTCCAAGATACAGGGTGTTGAAGTTGGAAGTATTGATTGTTGTTTTTCATAATCACCCCGTATAAGCTTTCAGAATTGTGGATGGTCAGAGATGCGATGCAACCTGATTAGATCTATTGTGCCCGATCTTCTTTTGCTATATCAAGGTTTTCTTGTTCATAGCAGCCCCTCTAGCTTCAATTCTTTTAGGAATCTGAGGATTCTGAGGAGATCTGTTTGTGGAATTTCTTTCACGGTCAGCTGGTATGCTCCAAGTATAATCGATATTTTGTGGTGTACAGCAAAACAATCAAGCTAACAATAATGTGGTGGGGTATTTCTGGATGTTCCCCGCAAAATCTGCATGTGCTGCCCTCCTCTAAGCTAAGCTTCCTTAGGTGTTCTTTGAGTCTACAATGCTCCTTTCAAAATCCCGTTATTGCTTTGAGAGTAATTTTGCAGGGATTAATCACTGTCTTCGATCTTTCTCGGTTGAAATTTCCGATGAGATATTTGGCCTGCCACAGTCCTTGAAGTCTTAGCCAGTGTGTTGCTCTCATTTCTACATCAGCTTTACTAACTTCTTTTTGAAAATAAGATTCCCTCAAAATTCAAAAAAATACATATTCTGCTTACACAGTACCCACACGGAGAAAAAATGTTCAAATCAGCGAAACTTTCGTGAATTCAACAAAATTCTGTTTCACTTGAATGTTGAAATTGATGATTGATTTGTGTCACATGATGCAAAATACGATAGATTTTTACCAAATTGAGGTGACCTGTAAATGTTCTAATCTAATTTGACAATAACGTAGTTGGTTATTTGGATAGTTTACTTCGAAATAATGGAATATAACTCAGCAACGTTCCTCTCTAGCCCCTGTTAGGAAGGATCAAAAGATGAACTTCAGTCCCGAGAGTGGGAAAAATAGTTTTTTCACCGATAACACGTAGTTATAGGTCAATCAATCTTAAATAATTTTCATGAAATCAGTTTCAATCTATGACACTATGTTTGAAACTCATATTATCTTGTATAACGTTATACACAAACAAATGAATCTGTCCTTTCCAAAAAAACAAACAATAATTATAATGGTACTTGAACTACTTACCATCCATTTGTTCAGCTTTGGTGACATCGGTCTTAATAAAGAATGCCTTGTTTGCGCCATATGTTTTATTGAGCATAGTAGCAGCCTCAGCGCCATTTTTAGCATCTATGTCAGCAATCACGACTGCCTGAAAGGTTGAAAAACAAATAATGTTAAAGATCTTATGAAAAGTATTCAAACAAGTGACATAATCATGAGATGACCTATGAATAACAACGAAGTAGAAGATTCCATTGAATTGTTTATAGGTCTCGTTTTCGAGAGTCTGCATGGTCTCGTCTCGTTTTCGAGACAAGACTCGAGACGAGATTCGGACAAGACGAGACGAGACATTTATTGGTCTCGTCTCGAGTCTCGTGCAAGACGTCTCTTGTCTCGAGAGTCTCGCAGGTAAATATTTCTGCGTGCCGACTGCAGACTTGAGAATTTCATGCATAATAAAACATATTTAGAAAGATTTCAGACTATTTAGCACAGATAGACAATACATTTCATTCATAAAAACTCAAGAAAACAATTCTGCAATAACGACGGATCGCAAATTGAATAACTACCTGAAAATCTATAGATGAGTAATTCTGTGCTAAATAGTCTAAGATAAAGAATAACTTTGTTTTGACGGGAGTATGGATGGAGGAGCTTTCTAAAATATTATTCTGTGCCTCGGTGTAATAAAAACACATCAGATATATTGCAATTGTGGAAAATTCATGCTTCTGAATTTCCCATTCTAAGTTTGATGACACGAGATCTCTTAAGCATACCGGCTACTTCAGCTTTCTTGTTTAGATGTATGATGTAAGTATGTACCTATAAAGTACTTACTTTTCAATAAATAATGTTATTTTTGTTGTAATTTGGTATTTCTACTTCTACATTATACCTTGAAAGGAGGTAAAGGTAAATATCCCGGAACAAGATTATGCATGACGATATTGCGATACCTCTGCGAGACTCTCGTACGAGACGCGATACAAGACGAAACTGGAGGCTGCGAGACGAGACTCGAGACAAGACTTCATATTTCATCGGCGAGACGAGACTTTATGGAAGTCTCGTCTCGTTGGTCTCGTGTGAATCACTAGAATTGTTCAAATATCTTGATCCGAAATGTCGTATTTTTTGCGATTTTTTCGATTCCTATTTATTTCATGACTCAAATATATTATTTGAAATCGAAATTTTATATAAATATTGTATACAAAATATGTTTAATGATATTGGTTTCTTAGAGTGATACTTTTCATGATGAATCAAAGTAGACAATTACCCAGTGTGGAGACCTATATGATCCGATAAAATCCGTATAAAAATATATTTGTGAAAATTCTCGAACAGTTCCTTTATATTTGAAAATCTGTTTTTTTTTAATTCTCAACCAACTGTCAACCTCCTTCCCATCAAAAAATCAACCCCTTAAAAATTTTTAAATTGTACGATGGATCAAGTTACACCTCGCTAGAGAGGTATTTCAAATCTCAATACAACTGAAATTTTTTTTTCAAATTCTGTAAGGCCATATCCGCAAGACAGACGAAAAATTCATAATTATATGAAATTTTCCTGAAGACTTCTGGTAATGGTATAGATTTTGTTCTATTGTACCACTTTTTGAAATAAGTTTGCCACATACTGACTGTCTATCTATACCATTATGTCCAATGTAATGGTTGGTATAGTCTATCCAAAGTCAATTGGAACATCTACCGCACCTCATGGCGTCGGCGGGTTCCTTTTGAAGTGAGTGCACGTGCGACTCGATGCGGTTCAATTTACTTTGGATCAACTTCACTGTTTCATCTCACATAGGCTTAGACGGATATTCAGTATGAGAAACTCATTTCAAATGTAGGTAAATTAACTGTACAAGTAATACAATAGAACAGTACTAACCTACCATTATACCATAAATTTTAACAAATATGTCAATAAATTCTGAATCTGCATTGGTCTCTTGAGGGTATGGTTCAACCGAATTAGAAAAGAAAGATCTTTGAATAGAGATTTGAAATACCTCTCTAACGAGGTATAACCTGACCCCTTGTATAATAGGAAAATTTAGAAGAGGCTGATTAGTAGGGAAGGAGGTTGACAGGTGGTTGAAAATTTTTATGTGAAAAAATGAATCTTCAAAAATTGAAATATATGTACAGGGTTCTTGAAGAATGTGTACCGAGCTTTATGTGGGAGTGATTGTACAATTAAAAATGAATAAAGTTTGATGAAACTAATAGCCCAAAATGTATATTAAGGGAGATATAGCCCTCCTATTCAATTCCTTTTTCCATAATAGTTGATTCTAGGAAATCAGAAAGATTTATAATATCATCAGATTCTTCAATTTCTGAGTCAGCTTCTTGTTCAGAATGATCTTCTTCAACTGGCTCAGCATTTGAAAATATGCAGCTTCCCATACTTGGCGAAAAATTTCGAAATCATTATTTTTGTATCTAGAGCGCAAAATGCTACTTTGATGATCGAGATCTGATTTTGAAAAATAGTCGAGATGACCAAAGTATTTCGCGCTCGAGTTGCAAACAACATTTTTTCTACAAACGTCAAAAAAGAAAGTTCTAAAGTAAATATATGCTTCGCTTGATATAAAAAATAGTGTTGAACTGGATCAAAAGGCCTCCTCTTATCCTTTTTAGGTGCGCACTATGTTCCACGAACATAATAGGAATATCCTTTCGTGCGCTCCAAGAGATAAAACATAGTTATTATTATTTTACTTCGCGCAATGTTTTGTGCAAGGTATCATGGTAACGTAGGAAACTGAAAAGAAGTGTCACTTTGCAATTTGTTATCAATGCGCGAACCTTGTCGTTTTTGACGTTTGTAGAAAAAGAATCTTTCAGTTTGATCGCATTCCATTACGCATTCTTCAGTTCTAATCAAACTACAGTTTCCTCCCTCAAGACAAAATTTTGTATATTCCACTATGACGAGCCCCCCCTTTTTGCCTCCCCTTCTTTCTGAAAGCCCAGATAGCACAAGTACATCTTATGTATATACTATGGATATCCATCATGGATATTGTGGAAGTCCGTAAGGTATCCGAAAAAGGCTCTGGTATATCCTATGGACGTCCATAGGATGTGACAGTGTGACCTTTTTGGATGTCTTAAAGATATTTATTATGGATATCCAGATATCAACTTTGGATATGGATAAGAGATGGTATACCCTATATATATAGAAAAAATCACAAAAATCGGGAAGCATTCACATCTCACTGCGTTGGGATAATGTAGTTGTCAGTTCTTATGCATCAACAATTTTGGACGAATTCGTAGGAATCACTTCCAAATTCACTTCAAATTAATTAAATATGAGAACAGATTGACATTATTTGATTATTCCAAGGTTGGTAGAATCGATCATCAGCTCTACCAATCTTGTACTATTTGAGACGTTACGCCACCTCGCGCTGTTTTAGAAAACCGAATTAATAAAAATAAGAGGTAGTGCATCATAATGTGTGCTATCTTTTGAAAGACCCACGCACAAGTGTTACTTTTGTGGATCTCTTTTTATTCATTTATCATTTCATTCATTGTATTTACTTGATTTGAAATTTCTAGGTATTGATCTTTTGTCTCTGTATCTTATGGATCTCCTATTGACGTATTCCGGACGTTTGTTTCGAATATCTCAAGTAAATCCGCAATCGGATATCTTATGGATATACATTTTATGTCCACCAATATCCCGCCTTGAATAGGACTTGAAATGGATATTCATAAGATATCATGTGTTAACTGGGAGCAGATTTCAAAATAACAGCACCTATTGAAACCGCCTGATATTCTTTCGAAAAATGCAAATTGTATACGTAAAACAATTTCCTGAATCCAAGAATAGAATGGAAGAATTCGGAAAGGGTATAATATTTTTTTTTATTCACACACATATAGGTGAATAAACGATACTCAAAAAGTGACCGAACACTTGTTTCGAGAATGATTACAGAGAGCTAAAAAGATGAAAATATAGTATATAATAATAATAATAATAATAATAAGCAGGTTAGGTTGGGTTTATGGTATTGACAAATAATTATCAAAATGTTCAATACATTCATGTGAATAATTCATAAATTAGATGAAGATATAATATTGTGAAGATAAAAGGATGAAACACGAATAAAAATAAATAAATAAAACTATCAAACTAGTTGCATAGTATAATCGCTATATCTATACCTATATGTATATTATTTACTAAAAGTGTTGAAAGTATGATTCTCATCTTGGATTGTCATTTTGATTGTTCAATTCAATTCAATTTTCGATTACATCATGTATGAGTTTTCTCGGTGTTTGAGAAATATGAATTTTCAGTCTCGATTTGAAACTATATATAGTTTTTGTTTCTTTTATTTCATTGTATAACTTGGGTGCCAAATAGTTGAATGACCTATGACCTATAGATTTCGTCATGAATGGTACATAGTGTTCTCTTTTAGATCGTGTGTTATAATTGTGTTTCGATAGAATATGGTCAGATCTATTTCTATGATAGTAAACGGTAATATTGAAATAATATAATTGCCTTACGTCTAGAATCTTCGATTCTAAGTAGAGTTGGTCTGATGGGTATTTCAAATCTGCATTCAATAATATCCTGATGAATCTCTTCTGCAATATTACAAGGGGGTTCAAATATGTTTTTGTAATAGCTCCCCATCCGAGTATGCCATAGTTCAAATGACTTTCTACAAGGGCATGATACAAAATTTTTAATTGAGCCGAATTCAATATATGTTTCAGTTTTTTGAATTTGAAAAGGACAAATTGTAGTTTTTTAATTATTGAATGTATCTGACTTTCCCATTTAAGGTGGGAATCTATTATCACCCCTAGATACTTGATATCATTTCTACTCATTATACTGAAGGTCTGGTTGCCATTGTTTATATCAATTTGGTTAAAAGTCGGGAGATTCCGTTTATAGCAACTGAAAGGTAGGAAATTTGTCTTTTCGAAATTAATTGTGAGTAATTTATGATCGAACCAATTCTTCACCAAACACATATCTTCTTCAATGGTTAATTTCAGTTGTTCCCAATTTTCTCCTTCATAAATGAGTGCAGTATCATCAGCAAATCCTATTGCGTGTCCTTGAATATCCAAGCTGAATAATCCATTTATATAGAGTGAGAACAGAATCGGTCCGAGAACTGTACCTTGTGGAATCCCAAATTCTACGTCCATTTCTTCACTTAGATTTTCATTGTTCAGTTTAACACGTTGTGTTCTATTTGAAAGATAGTTCTGAAACAGTCTCAAGCAGTTTCCTCGAATACCATAATCTTCTAGGGTTTGTAAAAGCAGTGTGTGGCTGACTGTATCGAAAGCTTTCGATAAATCCAGGAATATACATATACAAGGTGACCCATTATTCAATGAAGATTGAACAGCATTTGTAAGTGATAAAATATGTTTCTAAACATTAAAATTTCAACTGAAGCACTCAGAAGTTACCCCGATTGTCGTGGCCAGTGGTCACCGTTATTCGACCTTTTGCCGCAACATCATCCAAGAAATTACCTCTTTCAATATTGACATAACATCAAAAACACCTGTACGAGAAATCAGAAAATGTCATCGACTTACGGCAAGTCCATTCTTCATCAACTCCACTGCATATGCCAGACCGATGCCAGCAGCGGCACCAGTGATGAGAGCGTGTTTACCCCTTATTTCGAACACCATCCTCTCGAATTCAATGAAAATAGTTTGAACTTTTTAGCAATCGAATCGAAGACTCAATGTACCGAGCTCATGATGCATCCGAATATTTATAACATCAAATGGGGGGTGATAATGTTCAGTTAATCAATCGCGGTGTCACAACGGGGGCGATAAGAGATTCCAGTGTTGCCTTCTCAGTAATTCAGCTTTGGATCTAGTACTTCCCTACGTTAGAAGCTTATATTTCCGATCATTCCGACCTTTGGATCAATATTGTTTCCAAATTTTTTCCTGTTACAAAAGGAAATAATGCATTATACGCGGGAAAAATACTGCTTGTTTCCCTTATATAATAAATAACTTTTATATTCTCGAAAATCACAAAGTGTGTAACCTCTGGTATATAGCATTCCAAACTTTCCGAAGGTGCTCAACAATTCAATCTAGCACTGTCAGCATGGAATTCATAATTGTTTCAAGCAGATTTTGATATTACACAAAATTATTTTCGGAGATTCAGAATGGTGTGAAAAAGTCATGATAAACACAAAACGCGGCCAACTTACGAATTCTAAAAATTAAAAATCAATGCAATGTCATGCATCAAAATAATCAAACAAGAAATATTACATTGTATTGATTATATTACAGTACGATTACATAATCATAACAAACATTTCTTAATGTTCTTCCATTTATTTCATTCGTAGTAATTCATACTATTCAAAAATACAAATATTTATATCAATACGTATTCTCTAGTCCTTGACTTGAAATTTTCCCGAGTAGCTAGGGAACAGCCCCATCAAGTCTGTGCATCCCTGGCCTTCATACAAGTTTGTAGCACTTCATATCTAACGTGAGTCAGGAATCAAAGCTCTCCATTCGTTTTCTGAAAATGTATTTCCTATTTATGGTTTTGGTGATTTGGGTTCAGGACCATCCATTGGTAAACCACAAATATCTGGAGAAGGTATCCGAAGTTGGTAGCATCAGTGGAATTCCAAGAATTCCAATGTCATCCCAGGATTCTCATAGTACTGTGCTCAGGAAGCAAACAAGTTAATGATACAAAACAGTCAATAGGTTAATCGTGGAGGTGGTACATTCATTTTTCTAGATTTTTTAGGATTTTGTTTCTTCGTTTCTATAAAATCAAAATATGATTATAATTTCAATATTTGCCTCAGAATGTCACTGTTCGAATATTCACTATTAGTGAGCCTTAGTGAAGATTTGATATTTTTCCGATCTATCTTCAATTCTTTTGTTCAAACATTTTTCGAAACAAGTTGTCCTTTCTTCACGAATATTGAAATTATACTCATATTTCAATTTTATAGAGACATGTAAAAATCCTAAAAAACCCTGAACAAATTAAAATTATTGTCCAGATATCCTCAACTACACTGAGAGCAACAATTGAGTTGTGTGCAAAAAAACGCTTTGGTTGTAAGATTTGAAGTCATCCCATGAAAAACTGGGAAGAATGAAGCAGGAAAAGTATGTGGGTATTTTAACGAAAGAAGAGAAAAGGCACGATTCAATTGAATCAAAGATGGGTGGCTATACCTAACTATTTACTGTAATACTTGAGTGGTGTACGAAGAAACCCTTCTGCAGAAAATCGGTGTCATCACGTGGAAACCCAAAAAAAAGTAGAAGAAAAGTATGCAGGTGTGTTCATGAAAGATAAATATGTATTTAAGATGAACCTACCACCCGACCTACTTATATTTATTGTTGGTGATAAGTTCTTGAGTTTTGTTACAAAAAAACACTGGTAAAAATGACAAAATAATCACTTGAAATCACAAAAACATATAAGGAGGAAGTACCATTGTATGTTCATAAAGAAACATAAGATTACTCTGAATTGATGCTATGCCTAGGTATTTACCTATTTATTGTGATACTTGAGTTGAGTGCAAAGAACACCAGTGGGAAGATTTCAGGTCATTACTTGACTTGACAAAAAGTGTGTATATATTCATGAAAGAACATAGAATCAATTACAATTATAGGATCAATAAACCTACCTATTAATTATAAGTTTCCTGAATAAATAGTAAATTATAAAGCACCTACAGCATTTGAATAACAACTCATTCTTCAGGAGGTCTCATCTAATCACCAACTTATCAGTCCAACAACAAAATCCTTGCCCTTTATATTTATTTTATAAAAAAGAAGCAGAAAGGAGTAAAGAGTGATAAGAAATGAAGAAATCGCAAGGCTTGAATAACTCCAGTGATCTGGTAGGGGTAGTTGGTGAAAAGTTGTTTGAAAACAATATGAATTGGTACAACTTGTGCATGTTCAGTGCGTACTCTGCTTCTTAGAAAAGTTGATCAATCATCAAAAATATCTCAGATAGATGATTTGGTTTCCTTCACATGTGATCCTCATGAGAAATATTTGTTGATCACCTATACACTTCAAAGTTAGATGTTTTTACAGCTCTAAATATTTATTCGTGCATGATTTTCACGAATAGTCATGATAGGATGCACTGCTATACCTTTTTTTTTATAATAGGAGTGTCCAGTGCTGTGTACAAGGAATCCGATGCATGTGAATAAGTGATACCACATGGAAATCTTAATTGTTTAATTTCATGAAAAACTCCACTCAACAGTAACCAAAATGAAGAAATGACTGTGTTTAAGTTCCCGTTTTCCAATACTTTCTGATGGAAAGTAGACAATTTACATTCAACTCGCGGCAACGTTGGGGATTCCTCAATACTGACATAAATAAATAAAAAATGTGCAATAAAACATTTGTATAATCTGAGGAATCTTTATCAGGTCATCCATGTCAAAAAAAATATTGTTGAAAAATATCCAACATGTTCGAAATATTGAATATATTATAGGGTGTTATACAAACCTCTTATATGATCAGGCTAGGGACGTGAACTTACACCTACCAGTAAAAAGTTTTGCAGGTTCCAAGATACTTTTCATTTCGTGATTTCTTCAGTTTCTGAGAAACACTTCGGAAACACAATGATTTCTCTATTTTGTTAACTTTCGTGTAATGATGGGTAGATTGAAAAAATAAAATTGTCTTGGACCAAATTTTCATGATGATGATTCATTCTCCTCAGATACCTACTTGAAAAGGTCAATATTGGGTACATAATGTATCTAATGGTGTGTTGCTTGGCACTGTTGTTCAACTGAAGGATATCACAAAAGAACATGAAAACATTCCTCCACACTTTCAAAACACTGAGTATAGAAATATTGAGAAGCTTTTATGAACTGATGTGAAAGAACGCCGTGTACTGCATGATGATCTAGTCATGCTATCGCCATCTTGTGGCGTTAGTTCTAAGGTAGAGCCTTGCGACCACGTAATACGCTGTCCTCTCTAGTCAACACATGCAGGCCCCTACGCCTGCATGCTGCAGAGTAGTACTACAAGTAAACCACCCTGCTGACAGATGGCACCACCTGAATACTCTAAAGAAAACCCACCAGTCCTATTCACTGAGCTAGACCTCATAACTAAGAGATCCAGGATGATCGGAGTTGCCCCAATGGGCGTGTACACCTTAGTAGAACTTTTAACTCAAACCAGGCTTATAATGATCCTTTGATAAATAAATAATGATTGACGACATAATTCGATCGAAAAATTAACTGGAATGTTTTATTTTTGGACATAAATAATAGAACCTTCTGAAAACGGACCCTCTTATGACGTAGAAACCTCATCTCGCCATATAGTTGAAAGAAAATACCAAAAGCCCAACGGAGACTGAGGCAACTGATATATTAATTCTTTCAACTGTGATCTCGCGCTAATTCACTCTGTCAGAAATCATGTATCATTTATCTCTGTCTGGAATAGTCTTGTTTCAGTACTAGGGTTTTGACGTCACATCATCGCCTCATTCTCAGTGGTCCGAAAAATCGGGAATTTCGATAATTTTTCATAAAACGTAGGGAGCTCACAGCAAGAAACGGTTTGCGGTGGTGAGCTAGTTTGGGTGAGTTCTATCGAAATATGAAATGAAAATGTTTTGTGATATAAGCCCATTGTCGGTAGGAGCGAGAGCGGCTGATGAGACCTGGTGGGCCGAAACAGTGCTGTCTTGAAAATTTTCATATGTACCTTGTTGCTGATAATGAAGCGACAGAAATTTCTCGAATATCGTGATATATTACTTATTATATAAGTATAAATCAAGTAATTCAGTGAATTAAATGATGAATGAACTCAAATTTCAGAACCCTGATGAACACGTCTATGAGATGAGATTGGTAGGCACTAGGTTGTTTATCTATCCAATGTAATAAGTGGAGTTTATTTGTTTATTATGTATAATGTCATACTGAATGAACCTGACACATGGCTGATTTATTATGGGGCTAGAGTTGATAACGTCTATCCATATGCGAAAAATTACCAACCAAATCCATTGCAAGATAAAATTATTTTTGGAACATGAAAGCAGGATAAAATCTTCCCTCATGTCACTTCCATAATAATGTACTTTAATTAGCGAAATTCAGTATCAACAGATGGTTGCTGTGGTCATAGACGCCGACTATGTGCGGGCAATGGGGCATATACGTATCCCATAGGTGTTTAAAGGAGGAAATTGAGCTCATTAAATTGTGATGTTGTTGTTAAAATATAATACACGAAGAATGAGAACGAAGAAGTGCTCTCGTAAAGAGTTTCAAATTATCACCATTTTCTTCAGCCGTTTATAACGCTTATTATATAGACTGGCTGGTATTGATGATTTCTAACGATTTTTAAATGCATGCAAATTGGTTCTTGTGGAAATTTATAGTAAAGGATATCACGGAAATATTGGACACTCTGCCCTCGTGTAGGAAGAACCTAACTATCAACGGAACAAGTGATGAAGAGGGGGGTATTTTTGAACAATTTCATTTTAATACCAAAATTAGCTCTTGTATTGACGTTTCTAATACTGACACGAAAAACGGTATTTTGCTAGGCAACACATATAAGTCCTAGGAGCTTAAGTAGAACTCTAGCTCCTAGGAACTAAAAATGATGTACTAGAGGTCATCAAGAATAAACAACAATAATACGGTTAGTAATTTGGGTTGGGACGCCTACCTGATTTGTTTCCGATTTCCGCAGATTTGGAATTTCATACTGGGGATATCAATACACCTTATTATAATTAAGTATTTTTGTTTTAATCAGGAAAGCCTTCAAAATTCACAAACTTGCTCGATCTGTATTTCATTCGTTATTCTCGGGATGATGGCTAACTTGTTTTTGAATAATCACGGCCAGCAATAGTTTTTTGTCTCCAACATCGATATTGTTTACCCCCATTTGATTATCAAGCCAACACAGTGGAGTTTGGAGAAAAATAAATAATAGCTGTTATTATTCAATTCGAACATCTTCGAAAATGTAATAAACCTGTTGTTAATGCAGGTAGAATATTCTCACCACATGGATTATTTGTTTAATCGAGTTAATTGTTTCGGTTGCACAAAAATTAGCATGTTTCATTCGGATCAGAAGTGACTTTGCTTGACTCGCAAATTTTGCTTTTGCTCGGCTTCACTAAACTCTCCACCTCGCAAATGCAGAATTCGCTTGTCAAACAAAGTGTCTCTTTTGATCCTAATGAATCAATCTACTATTATCCTGATACAAGTCTGCGAAAAAGCATACGTTAAATAATTGTTCAAAAATACCCCCCTATTCATAACATGTTCACTGAATAATAATTTTTGGTCTTCCTATACGAGGGCAAATTGTGCAATTTTTTTCCGTGGTATCCTTTTTTTTATTTCACCAAGAATCAATGTGCATGCATTTACTAGACAGCACGAAGTGATTCTGATAACGTTCTTAGAATATTCCCGTGGAAGATTTCGAATATTCTCAGAATGTTCTCACAAGGTGCAAAAAACGTTCTGAGAATATTCTAAATACATGTAAATATGTTTCAGAACATTCCCAGAACATTCTATGATAAATGGAACAGCCTCAAAATGATCTACGAATATTTTCAGTACACAGGGTGTATTGAAGCTCAAGGAAATTATTCCAGGAATCGATATAGGAGGAAAGTATTCGAAGCCCTGGAAGGTCCCCTGAAATAAAAAAGTTGGCATGTTTTTTTTTCCACTCTCTGATGCATGGAAATGTTGGAGTCAGTGTTGAAAAAAATCGCAGTTATTCGACATGACAAACACAACTGTTTTTTTCTTTATTCATTTTTCTTTTCGTGACATGATGGGGACATAGATTGTTTTCAATTAGGAGCTCAGGATTTACGAAAACTAATGTACACTCTAAGAAAAACTGGAACACCAGTTGACACCAGCTAACACCGAATGATTTCCTCAGAGGTCCTGCATATTTCAGTGTTAATTCACACCTATTTGTAGAGCACCGGTGTTTGGTGCTATCTCTGCACATTTCCAGATGAGATTTGTGATTTCGAAATGGATGTAAAGTAATACCAGTCTGGTGTGTTATGTGCAATGTTTTCTGATAGAGTTCGCACTGGTCTGGTGTGAATCACAATACTATTGATCATGAAAAACATCAGTATATTTAAAGTCACACCGGAATGAGTTTACAAAATCATCATCAAATGATCAAATCTACAATGAACGGTGTTTATTTACACCAGATCATTGAATTCTTAACCGGAATTGTGTCAATTCTAATTGAGGACAGTTCTTCATCTGACACGAATCTTCAGAATTCTGACACATTTAGGTATGAAACAAAATTGCTTCAATCAATTTGTAATTCATTATAGTGTGAAATATTTTTGTTGAGATATAGGTACAGGGTATCTCAAAATTGCTGGGACACAGAGCTACCACAGGTAATACGGGTCAAAATAAGTTGATTGGACCCAACTTCTTTTTATTGAAAAATATACCGTTTGTCCGTGAGACGTATTCAGAGTTTTCATAAATAAACATATTTTCAAAAGATCTACAATTTCTTTCAGGATTCTTCGATTACTGAAAGAATAGTTATACTCTAAAATGCACTTTCGTCGAATATCATCCAATTTGTTTCACTCATTTTTGAACAGCGATCAGCGAACGAAAATGTGTTTATTTATGAAAACTTTAAACTCACCTCACGGACAAACGGTACATTCTTTTATATAAACAAGTTAGGTCCAATCAACTCATTTTGACCTGTATTACCTGTGGTAGCTCTGTGTCCCATCGATTTTGGTGTTGTGTCGAAACATCGAGACAATTGTTTCTGAATTTGACTCCTCAATAAACTTTTCTGAACATTTGAATTTTATTTTTATACACTTCATGATAGAAACAATCATGCACTTTACACTGGAAGAGCAACATGATCCGTACTTATTGAAAGCACAGTGAAGAGAGACAGTGCTGAATATTGCTCAACGTTTACTACGAAGTACGAATGGCTGTGGAACTCTGGAGTCTGGAGTGTGGTAGTGATAGGAGCACGTACACGAAGAAGATGCGCAAGGTTGCCAAGCATCACGATATGAAATAACTAAGTATATGTACCTAGTTTCATGATAATTTAATGAACATAGGCAGTAGGTACTTAAATGAAATTGTCCTCATAAGTTCTTGGAAATACTTCCGTTGGCAAAGAATACCGAAGCTTCGTCGTTCCATTGACAAACGTGTTTTGGAAAGGAGTTGTTTGACATAATTCTAGATTGACGACAAAACGATGATGTGCTGACTCAGCCTGTCGAGTACGTTTGACGAATGGTGGACCAAAATGCATGTAAGCTCTGCAGTAATGATACAGAATGTTGCAGTCGTTAATTAGAGAGCATCATATTGATATTGTATTCATCAACTTCTAATCATTATCTTACACCACGATGTTCAAAGTGTTATATATGAAATAGGTTTAAGTAATATAAAATAGACGAGGTGGCAACAGTGTATGGCGACAAATTTGTTCCGATGTTTTTCTGATATTAGTGGTGTTGATTTACAACTATTCCAGTGTCATTTATTCCAGTGATATCAGAAAATACACTGGTTTGGTTATGAATCTCATTACTAGGTGAATATCTTGAAGAGGAATTATTTGTGTGAATATGGATACTTCATAAAATTGATAGTCACATAAAAAATATGATAGTTGATCACTTTCATGATATGAATTTTGAAAAATTACACCTACTAATGATAATTTTTCAGAATATATCAACTTTGTGATTCATGAATAGAATAATTTGATGTTTACAGTTTGAATTCAAATAATGAGTATGAAAAGTGTGATTCCGAATTCAGATTTGCCATAATGTATCACGATTTACACCGTCGAACCCCACGATATCAAATTCCCAATACTTATGATAGGATAGTACAATTTTGGTGTTGAACAGGGTTAGTGTTAATTCCAACAGTCTGGAATTGAAAAAGACACCAACAGTTTTCTTAGAGTGTAAAATGGAAAATTAATATTATAAGTTTCGAGGATGAACATTGTGTGAATATGACTGAGCTTCTTGTATTTATTTAACATTTCATTCCACTTTGAGCATTGTGGCTATTTTGTAGTTGAAATTACGCCAGTCGGGCAACCAGCCACTCCCGTATGAGAATTTCAATTTTGAAGTGTTTCTTCCCTTCGTTTCTACTCAGATGGCGTTGCTTTCATATTGTCTATGAAGGACGCCTCTGGGGGAATATAATGCCAACTTGATTTTTGTTTGGCTATGCAACGCTTAGTCGGCGGTCTTAGGACTGCTGGCTGGAGACTGTCCTGCACTGATGAGAGTCAAAGAGCTCGAAACTGGTCTGTAGGTATCTAGCGCGGCCTTGCTAAATCGAAATCAATAGGCATTCAGGAAAGATTCACTCGTATCAGTATTCGTTTATACGAGTCGATGCATAGATGTCGGGAGGATGTAATTCAATGTTCTGCGTGGCATCAGTCAGGAAAGTAGTTGTTTTTCTCCCAAAATCTACCTTTGTTGTACATTTTATGAACATTGTGTGGATATGACTTTGAGCTTTATGTATTTATTTATGTAATGGAATATTCTTGGAATGTTCCTAGGATCTTTGGATGAAATGTTCTATGAATATTCTCGTAAAACATTATATAAACATTCAGAACATCCTCATCATATTCTATGAACGTTCTTCGGAATATACTGAAGAAGGTATGTTGTGAAAATCATCAATTTTCAATGCAAATTCAAATTTGATTGGTGACGACGCTGCATGCAAGCACAAATTGATAATTGTATAAGACATTTAGAACCCATGAAAATCATTACTCGAAAGTCGCATAGGTACATTTCAAAAAAAAAACGTTGCAAAAAATTGTTCACCACATGCTACCCCTTTGTCATCATCTTTGAGGTATGCGAACAACTCTCTACCACAACACTTCTGTTTCTAGAGTATCAAATCTGAAACTCTCTTTCCAGGAAAAATATTCTCTTATTTAAGAATTTCGAGTCACAAGTCAGAATTTCGAGCTTCGGACTACCTAGATATAATTCGGATTCGGAAATATGAGACGAAATTCCGGTGCTGTTCCGTTGACTTTCAATGTTTCCCTATCAGTTTGCGGAGAAGGCAGCAAATTGATATTTATTTTTGTTTCAGATTCTACTGGGACCTTTGTATGCTCCTCCTCTTAGTGGCTAACCTGATAATATTACCAGTGGCAATAAGTTTCTTTAACGATGATCTGAGCACCCGCTGGATTGCCTTCAACTGTCTGTCCGATACAATTTTTTTAATCGATATTGTTGTAAATTTTAGAACAGGTGAGTTGATAATGCATTTCACCTTCTTTATATTCCACTATATTATAATTCGCCAGATATGTTTATATAATCGGGTCGATTCTGTTCGGATCTTGTTATAACATTGCTAAGATAATAATATTGTTATGATCCTAACATATAACAATATTGCTATGAAGTTCTGTATTCTGTTTGCAGAGTAACTGCAAGACTGGTTATGAGTTCAAGTGATAGCAATATTGTTGAAAAATTGCGAATTTTTGAGCTGACAGCACTGTTTTTAACTCATTGCTTGAGTGTTAGGTATCGATTTTGCCATTATTTCACGAAGAAGAAGAGTTCATGATTATCTAACCTCTCAAATTAGTCAGTCCTGCACTGATATTTTACAAAATTATATTGTTCAAATCGAGAGATTTTGTATTTGCTGAATCTGGTAGTCGTTGTGCGACTGGTGCAAGTACTCAATCATGTCCCCGAAATGAGAAACAACTAAAAGCCGCATGAAAATAATCATGATTTTTTTTTTAATATTATAGCAAAATAAATACTGTCTGTAGGTTAATCGAGGAGGTGATACATTCATTTTACTTGGTTCTTTGGGATTTTCTCTCCTCGTTTCTATAAAATAAAAGTATTCGTATTATTTCAATATATTTGTAGAGGGACAAATCAGATGATTTGCCCCAAAATGTCACTGCGTTTAACAAATTTTTCTATCAGGGAGTCTAAAAGAAAAATCCAGTAGCTTGTCAGTGACAATTTGTTTGAAAAAATTTTTGAAGGAAAGAAATATAGATATATTGAAAAAATATCGAATTTGTACTTATCTTTGAACATGGTATTCACTACTGAAAACTGAACATGAAAATGGTAGATTCAAGATCAATTAATGAAAACATCCTGTAACTCATTTGTAGACTAAAATCACTCATTCATATGCCAACATCAGTATGACATTGAAAAGTGTCAAACTATACGCAGCAAAAATTTCAAAGAAAAATAATTTGCATTTACATGTTGAGAACGGGAGCAGAATCGGTCCCGAAACGTCCAAAGATAGGTACAAATTCGATATTTTTTCAATATATCTATATTTCTTTCCTTCAAAAATTTTTTCAAACAAATTGTCACTGACAAGCTACTGGATTTTTCTTTTAGACTCCCTGATAGAAAAATTTGTTAAACGCAGTGACATTTTGGGGCAAATCATCTGATTTGTCCCTCTACAAATATATTGAAATAATACGAATACTTTTATTTTATAGAAACGAGGAGAGAAAATCCCAAAGAACCAAGTAAAATGAATTATAGCAAAATAGTTTGATGAAGTATCCATCAGGCAACTGAAATGGTTTTTCTGGTTCTTAAAATGCCGAAATTGTAGTCTCATATTTCGTCTACAAATTGGAACTTCAAGAAAAGGTTTTCAAGTCGTTGGTCACAGTATTGAACCTATCCTATTTGTTGGTAATCACAATTCTAAGTTTCTCAATAAGTCTTCTACGAATTGAAACGTTGAGGAAAAGTTTTCGAGTAGTCTGAACTCTCATATGTTTTTAATCCACTATTTTCTGAATGTTCATACAGTTGGAAGAATTTGTATTGCAAAAACAGAATCCACTACCTTGTTATAAGATAGCAAGCACAAAATTGATGTTGCCGAGATAGCGAGAAAGCTGACGAGATGTCATCGAAATTGACAGATCATATTGCCAAAAATCGATGACTAGAATTCCACTTTTTCGAATCTTGCTATGATAGCAATATCTTCTCTACAACCATATTGCTATTTGCAAACAGAATCGACCCGAATGTCTGGTATGAACTGAATTCTAGCTAAAAGTATTATTTTATCAAGAAAGAGGACCAATCTGAAATATTCATATATTGGAGACTCGCTCTGCTTTAGGGGGTCGACATTTGGAAAATGACTATTTTTTGAAAATGTGGGTTGCTAGTTCAGTTCAGGCATAGCTGAAATACCCCTATATGAAATTCAAACTCTTTATCTCATAGTGGGTGTTAGTAATTCATTGGTATATTTTTAACTTCTTGCTTTTATATCAACTTTCAATTTTCAAGATGAAAATAAGAATCTTATTTTTGACAAATATTTTGAAAAAGCATTTTGCATATCTCAATCTAAAATCTAATGATATTTTTGTTTTCTCGGAAAACCTATGAAAAGTGATGGGAGAGAAATTCCAAAAATGCCTCATGTAGCTGCCCCTTAAATTCCACAGACTCTATATATATGTTTCTGAATATCATAAAAATACACTGGAATGGATTTTTTCCTTCTGTTTGAACTCAACGGGCCCATTTGGAGATGTTTTATTATTTTTTTCAGGTATTATGCAGCAAGACAATGCAGAACAAGTCATATTAGATCCGAAACTGATAGCGAAGCACTACCTGAGGACGTGGTTTTTCCTCGATCTAATTTCGTCCATTCCTCTAGATTATATATTTTTAATATTCAACCAAGTAAGTGGCGTTCTATGTAATATGGTTAAAATTTGGTTCGCATCGGATATTTTCTACTCGGAAGAAACACACATTTTAAAACTTAACCACACCATTTTTGTTATTGATTACCAAGCGTTGCAAAATTGAAAACATCAACTGTATCGCAGAAATACTAAATATTTTTTTATTTGTGTCCAATGAAATCATTTACCCACTTAATTTATCTGCAATAGTACATTTCGAACTATTATTTCTGTGATTCATGGAAAGTGTTGAAATAGTATCAACGATGCGAACTTTTTAATGTGATTTGCATATACGGGGTGATCCGAAATTCGCACCAAACCGAACACTGCATCGCATCTTCAATAACTACCCAGTGTGTAATGAATTTCGGAACATCTTCAATGACTAGTGATTTGGTAGATCATCAGCATTATTCAGATTATTGTAAGCTCCCAGAATGCATTTCAAGTCTAAAAAACTTATACTTATCATGAAAGTTCTTACTGAAATTGGAAACATAATCAGGGACGGGCCAGTGTAGGGGGAATGGGGCTCCAGCCCTCTCCCTAATCCTAGGCGAGTTGTCAAATTGAATTTCACAAAAAAAAACGTTTCATGGTAAATATTTGTTTTTTTCTGACTTCAAACTAGGGATTTCCTGCTCCAAACTAAAAATTTCCAACTTCAAGAAAATAAAATTCCGATTTAGTAGTCGGAATCATGAAGGAAAATTACATTTCCAGTTCAAACTATAGGAACTTCTAAATTCAAATGTCCAAAACGGGAATCGGAGAATTTGAAAATTAGTTGGCAAAATTCTCTCACTCCCCCGTTCCTCAAAAAGTCTCATTCGGTTCGTCCCTAGACATAATGATACAATAAATAGCAAGAAGAAAGTTCTTGGAGCAATTGGAATTCTTTGCCAGAAGGAAGTATTTTCAAAAACTCATTACCTCCAGAACTTTTTAAAAAAATTCCAAAACCTACCTCCTCATACTGAAGTAGTTTGCATATCATGTTTAAATAATGGAATACGTATGTACATTTCACCTCTATTATAGGCCCCTCAAAACGAAGAAAATCAAAATTAGACAAAACATTGCGGTCTCTTATTTTGAATGCTATCTGCAATCATTTCACTCTCATTATAAAACAGCATAATATATATACAGGATGTTACATAATTGAATGTCAATATTTGGGAAGGTGATTCTTAGGCCTATTATAAGATGAAAGTTTCCTAATATGAATGTATTATCACAGTTGAGAGAATATATTCTCTCAACTGTGGTATGACCTAAACGTCCTAACTTTTGAGATACAGGGTGGTAAAGTTCTCAAAAATTGATAGTTTTTTATTATTATCTGTAATACCACTTCAGATATTCTAATGAAATTTGGCAAACATGTACTATGTATCAAGAGGCATCAGTGAGTGTACCACATTTTCTTCGGTTGCCACCAGTGGCGTTCGTATCGAGTTTCACATACCTATTTTAGCAGACATTGATGGTACGCCACTGATTAATCTCGAAATTGACATCATTCCTGAAATTCCCAATCATTTCTCAGCAAATTCGATCACTACAATGTTTTCAATCTGGTGCACGGTTTGCTTAAAAAAATAAAAAGTGTTCCACTACATAATTATAGTTATAGTTAATATGACAATATCACAATGCAGAGAAATAGATTTTATTTTTGAGATCAAATTTCAGAAATAAAACTCATAGTTCATGAACTTCGTATTCGTATTTGGTATTTTGGAATTATAATTTCTCATTGTAGTAGGCTATATTAATTCTCAAGAACTTTAACCACCCTGTATCTCAAAAGTTCGGACGTTTAGGTCATACGTTCATATGAAACTTTCTTCTTAAAATTGGCCCGAGAATCGCCTCCTCGAATTTCGACATTCAGTTTTGAAACACCCTGTATAGATATATAAACAAACCTAATGTTATTTTTGGAAGCGGCATGCATAATATGACCGAACATATCACTGACTTTTCTTGGAAGTTAATCAATTATATGAGATGAAATAAGATTCAATCATACAAGGTCGACATTTATATCGGGTGATGCCATATTTGGTGCAATTTTTTTGAACTAATTCATACAATGTTCCTAATCCAGACATTCTTTTTTCTTCAACAAGGTAACCCCGTATACACTATTTATATTTATGCGAAACACTAATCGATTTACATGCCATCATAATTTTAGGACTATTTATTATTTTCAATGCAATTTTTGAACACAGAAAGCCGAGAGTGAGCAAACATCATTAATAATAATTGGAAATAAAATTTGCTTTCTGAATGGAACTATGATCCCCATATTAAATGTCACTTATCTTTTTCTCATTTATTTATCTATTTAAGAACATCACTGATAAAATGTATCAAAATTTGTTGGAATGTTTGATGAAAACAAAGAACTGCTCCGAATCAGTATTCAATTATGTATTCTGTAAACTTTGCCTCTACCACCAGAATAACTAAATATTGATCAATATGATGAATCAGCTTTGGTTTATTCTGGAGTTATCCGAAAGGAATTTCTTAAAATAATATCCATTGAAATGCATTAGTGAATATCAAGTTTATCGATATCTTATGAATAATTGGTTGACTCGAGGTGATGGATGATTTCATTGTACCTTTACCTATACCTAAAGATGACTCCTATACCTATTGTGTATTGTACCTATATTGTATATAGATATTGTAAAAACTGTTAGTTTGCATCGATGTTTGTACTAGTTCTCCTCTTGACTACAAGTTATAATACTAGTAGAATGCATGATGTACAAATCTGGACCAAATAAGTGTGAAACCAATTTCAATGAAATTTCTATACCGATAGTGATTTCATATTATTCAAAATCAGATATGGCCTGCTGTATCATACTAATCAAGAGCATGTGATGGAATATTCGTATATAACTTCCCGACACACATAATACACATTTCTCTACGACTCTACGACTATCGTATTCTACATTGATAACATATTGGTTAGTAATTGATGAATGAAGATGATTCCAAGACACCGTGGATCCTAACTCATTCAACGGCACTCGACCAATCACAGATTCAGAATTTTCAGGATCTACAGCAACTGAAAAAGTTAGACTAATGACTGCTAATGACAAACCAGCAAATCTACCAAACAAATTTCTCAAGAAGGCTTTGCTTCATTTTACGGGTCACGGCTTGACTTTCGCGAATGTCAGATTAACTTAGATATCAGCTATCACGATCAAAACATAAAATGAATAATTATTGTGATTGGGGAAGCAGTGATAGTGACAATAATGAGATCTGTACACCACCGGATTTATTGGAAACAGCGAAAACAGCAACTCTGAACTTATTGCCAGAGAAATCAAAAAAACAACGCCTAAGCAAATTGAATGAGCTAGGCAGCAATAATAACGTGATTCTCCTCTGGGTGCCAGGGCATATCGGAGTAGAGGAGAATGAACAAGCAGACACTCTGGCACGACAAGGGGCTTCAACGCCACTGATCGGACCAGAGTCATTCTGTGGCCTTGGAAATTCCTATTTCCAAGGAGAACTTGAAGAGGTGGAAGGAGCCTTGAGAGCCAGACAATGGAGAAGACTTCCAGGACAACGGCAGGCTTAAGATCTCCTTGGAAATTTCAACCGAGAAAGATCTAAGACACTGACAAACCTCAGCAAAGGAAGTCTCAAAGCAATAACGGGATTTCTCATGGGGCATTGCAGACTCAAAGAACACCTAAGGAAGCTAGGCTTACAGGAGGGCGGCACCTGCAGATTCTGTGAGGAAGAACCAGAAACACCCCATCACATACTGATGGAGTGTGACGCTGTAGATCACAAAAGATTGAACATACTGGGAACACACCAGCTGACTGTTGAAGAAATACCATAACTAGACCCCCTCAAAATCCTCAAATTCCTGAAGGAATTGAATCTTGAGGGTCTGCGATGAACAAGAAATCCTTGATATAGCAGAAGCAGATGGGGCACAATAGATCTAATTAGGTCGCAGCGCAACTGTGACTAATAACTTCATTTATCAATATTGTCGTTTATCAAGGAGGTGATATATTCGTTATTGCAGATTTTATTTTATTGAAACAAGGAGAGAAAGGACCCCGCACTTTTAGTACGTAAAATGGTTCTCGGTGAAATTTTCTGAATTTTCAGTATGTTGTAGAATTCGATGCACTGATTGAACCTGCAGAATCGTAAAGTTCTTTGATGAACAGATTCTGAGATACAGGGCGCCTATGCGAATGTAAGTGAACAAGTCTTTTCAACTCTTCATGCAAATGGTAAGTTCCTGAATTAATAACTATGACACCCGTCATGATAGAAAAATGAATTTTCAAGACAGCATTGAGGAGCGAATGATAAATATATTAAAAAATAATTAGGGAATTTCACCGAGTTAATCATGAATAACAGGGCTATTTCAAAAAACACGATTTTTTGTCATTTTCATCATCGAAAATCTTCATGATCACCCTATATATCTCAACAAAATCATGTTCATACGGTATCAGCTATCTTGGGAGGTTAACAATTCACTCGAATATACAGGATGAGTATGAATAAATCGGTCTTAGGTGTCACCAATTTTTTAAATCACCCTGTATGAAATGTATGAATTGTGATTTATGATGGAATGAGAATAGTATATTGCATGCCCAAATTATTTTTTCGATATTTCATTATTACATCGAATTTTCAGACATCACTGAAATGTTTATATGTTTCACTCTCTAAACAATGACATCATCTGAACCATCTGAATTATGTTGAGTAATATGGAGGTTCGTTAATAATATGAGCGAAGAAAATTGTACTTGGCATCTTTAAATTTCGAGAAAATATTTAAATGAAAAATACCGATTTGTAACTTTAACGCCCTGTATCTCAGAATCTGTTCATCAAAGAACTTCACGATTCTGCAGGTTCAATCAGTTCATCGAATTCTACAACAAAAAATCTGCAAAAATGAATGTATTTATCAAGTTTCATATCTAAAATGGTTGCAGCGCATTCTACAATCGATTCATCAATATGCCCATCATCATGTTAGCATAACCATGATCGAGAACAGGTCCTTTAGTACACACACATCAAAAACCATCTACCAACACCCTCACACATACGGGAATGTCGGTGTTGATTGTTGATCTGTCTAGATATCTGTTGGGCGTTCGTAGACCTTTGCAATTACCCGCACTCTCCAACCCTCTGTTCCAGGACTATGGCGACAGCTTCCAGATCCTGCACGCGGGCCGTGCCCTGCGAATCCTGCGGCTGGCCAAGCTGCTGTCGCTGGTGCGCCTGCTCAGGCTCTCCAGGCTCGTCAGATACGTCAGCCAGTGGGAGGAGGTCTATGTAAGTGCAGCTACTTTGTTTCTTGGACTGTGCCACAGCCGTCTCTAGGAGAAAGCCATGGTGCGGTAATGGCAACACCGCAATGCCGTGATCCTACTCTTGACTATTATTATTATTGTTATGGTTATTGATTGGGATGATATTCAAGTTGATAGACAGTGTTTTTTGAATTGACTCGGCCGTTACTTGATGGAAATCAATGATAAATGTGAAAACTTCACAAACGATAAGATTTCCACAAAATTTATCAAACACACGACATGTTTCGCTAACACAGTATAGCTTCGTCAAGTGATATACTGGTACAATGAACTAAACTGAAGCAAGCCAACGTTAGTTTAGTTCATTGTACCAGTATACCATCTGACGAAGCTACTGTGTTAGCGAAACATGTCGTGTGTTTGATAAATTTTGTGGAAATCTTATCGTTTGTGAAGTTTTTACATTTGATAGACAGTGGTTTCAAGTATCGTTTGTGGGGCGAATAAAATCGTATTGTGTTCATACACAGAATGAGAGGTGGTTTATTAGATGAAATACATAACTGTTGTAGAAGGATAATATCTAACGTGGACTAGCTTCAACTGATCAATTGAAGTTTTGAGATTTTAACAGATACAGGAATGAAGCTTCTCTTAATTGAATGATTAAATGAGCTAACTTTCTGTTATTTAGTCTTGTCATCGGTTTCATCTGAGCTGTTCCTGAATCTTGCTAGAATAATTCCAAGTTAGAACCACCTACTCAATTTCAGTTCATGATTTCACCCACGGTCATAAATTATACAGGATGTTTCAGAATGCAGTATCGAGATTTCAGGGGTTAATTTTCCAGAAAAAAATAAGAGAAAAGAATAGTAGAAATCTTGATACTGACTGTTGAAATACAATATTTAATCCGAAATTATCATCACCAAGTATACAACTTGGACTTGTATCTCATTCAATATTACAACGCTCGGGCACTGTTGCCAGTTATGATCACTAAGGCTTCCAATTGACGGTTGTGACTATGTGGAATATCTAGCAATCGTTGTTGACTGCTGACAGACTGTAGGGTTTCGTTTCGATCTATTGGAGCCAAAGAAGATCGCTCGTTTTCAAGCTATTTGCTAAATTAAATATTTTGTTTCAAACATTATCGGACTTATTCTATCAACTACCTACCAATACAGAAGCCAAACAATATTATTCCTGAGCAATGATTCTTGACATCTATATCATCAATAATCATACATATAATGAATAACTATGGTTTAGGGCTGAGAACTAAGCACTTGAGGACCTTATGTTGTTACCTAATTTGATATCATCCCACGGGATCTATCAACAGTGAAGAATTATCGACCGAATATAGATACACATTGTATAATCATTGAATAAGTAGATACCTACCTACTTTTGTGTTTTCACTCCTAGAACATTATTCGTATGTATGGAGAACATAACATTATTAGTTGATCCATCTATCCATTCCAGAGGAGTCCTAGGCTGAGTACAGTCCATAGGCAGATTCATATATATTTTTTATTTTTGTTATCTTTCTCCTTGTTGTCTATACTGGAAAAGTTGTTTTTTTTTAAATAAATACAAAGAGCTCAAAGTCATATCCACACAATGTTCATTAAATGAACAACAATGGTAGATTTCGGGGAAAAAACTACTTTCCTGGCTAATGCCACGCAGAACATTGAATTACATCCTACCGAAATATATGCATCGACTAGTATGAACGAATGCTGATACTAGTCTACGCCTCTGCGGGAATATAATGCCGACTTGATTTTTGTATGGCTAGGCAACGCTTAGTCGGCGGTCTTAGGACTGCTGGCTGGAGACTGTCCTGCACTGATGAGAGTCAAAGAGCTCGAAACCGGTATGTAGGTGTCTAGCGTGGCCTGGCTAAATCGAAATCAATAGGCATTCAGGAAAGATTCACATGTATCAGTATTCGTTTCTATAGTCGATGCATAGATTTCGGTAGGATGTAATTCAATGTTCTGCGTGGAATTAGCCAGGAAAGTAGTTGTTTTTCTCCCGACAATAATGTTCATTTTATGAACATTGTGTGGATATGACTTCGAGCTGTTTGTATTCATTCAACATTTCATTCCACTTTGAGCATTGTGGCAATTTCGTAGTTCAAGTTTTTTTTTGTTGCCTGAGAGTTAAATCTTTCAACGCATGCGTAACTTCTTGAGACAGGTCAACCTATCTGTTCTACATAAATCAGGTGAAGCAGTGAACGCCAAAAATACCCACGAAAATGGATATAATTTCACTTTTTGTCAATTTACCATATACTTGGTAATGATGCTACTGCTACTACTAAACTATACGATATTCTAACAGTTCGTAGAAATTTCTTCATTTCATCCAATTCCTCAACTTTGGATAGTGTAGAAATTAAAAGAATTGGAATAAAATTCGATATATGCAAATATATTTTACATTCGCCTAATCCTAATCTCGTTTGTTTCTGTAGGAATAACTTTTTCCTCGACTTTTTCCGTATTATTTCAAATAACACGGAAACAATTTTAGGTCTGATTGCATTGCTTCGTTAGAGATTTCACTTAGACTTAGAACTTATAAATGCTCTCAATCCACGGAAAAACTGTGGATTAAATTAGCCTAAGAGTTTTAACAAAGAAGAGAACGATAATTTGAAGCATATGGTTACGGCTAGTCTCTTGTGAAAAATACAACAGTAATTGCGTTAGTATAGTGCGACGAGGAAGAACTACCATACTTTTTTTTGTTTTTCAGCGCATTGAACATCATTGATATTTTATATTATCTGTCTACTAAGCTACTGTGATTCTATCAAACCTATAAGTTTTCATTTCAATTGAATGATACTTGATGCATTTGTAACGAAAGGTGTCACCAAAATTGATCAAAGGTTAGTTAACAGTAAAATATTATGTATATAGCTATAGAAACTGAGAATCTTTTTATTCATGGAGGTTATTAGTGCAAATACTCCCAGTCACGTGACAAGCAGTTGACATTCTGGTTGCTAGATCTTCTTGACGAGTAGAAAACCGCGCTGTGAGCTTATTCGCACTGTGGACAGGTCCTAATGGTTGGAAATATTTTGGTGAGGTCAAATCGGAGTTCTTCTATAATGTATCTACGAGCGGAATTTTGAAAAAATAGTAGCACACAATAATTTGCACCTCCATATCGGGTGGCACGTGTACGTGAGTATTTATGGATTCTACGACAGCACTAATCTGCCATCTTGATGTTCATATCCATTACAAGATATCCACAGACGTTCAATAAGGAATTAGGAATCATTTACATTCGTCAAGAACGACTTTCCATAACAATTGAAATTGATGGAAGACAAAAAATATTAATTCATTTTTTTATCACTTGGAGCGCTCTAAAGAAAATCCCTATAATGTTCGAGGAACATCGTGCTTACTTATACTTTCAGTTTATTGAAATATATTGATTTTTCATAGCCAATCTAATATTCAAGAAAGCACGTGATCCAGGTGTCACCCGATATCTCATTCTGCATCATTTCATCGCTAAATCTTAGTCAGTTAATCATCAGCCAAATATTTTGATAATATAAAGGACATTTCTGGAATAGTATATGTTGTTGTAGTATGATATATTCCTCGAATGAGACGTTTGCGACATGGCAATCATATTTGAGTTATTACATTTTCATCGAATCCTATGAATAAGTTTCATATAACTAGAATGTCCAGTATTCAGAATAAATAGGAAGAAATTTGTGATTGAAGATCAACCATAAATTTTTCGTTAACGCTTCATAGGTATATAGGACATATATCTTAAAATACACTCACAAATCAAAGTATTCTCAAACACATAATTCAACTTGGAATGATCAATAAGTGTTTCGGTTTTGAAAAATTAAGTTGTAAATCGTAAAACTTATTTTTGGGTGGCGCAGCCAACAAATGCGTTTTTTCCTCGATTTGTCTCCGAAATCAAATCCCTGAATTCTGAATGAATTTTTCAACTCACCCAACGTAACTGCATACGAATCACTAATTAACATGAATCTTCTTTATGGAGTTAATACATCGTATTTCCCCATTCAATCAATTTGAAATTGGTAAAATGTGAAACGTTATATTTTCATTCATCTTATTGAGTGTCGCCTTTCAAATATTTTATTTTGTTTTCAGTAGAGATTTTAGTTTTTACGAAGAGTTGTATAAGTCGGTATATAGGTACTTAGTTCTTACTATTGATAGAAATGAATCTCCATGTTGAAACTTCATTTCGGATACAACAAGAACGAAACGGGTGAAATGAAGTGTAGTCATATTCAATACCTAGCCATATTATGTTGATAACTCTCTTCTTGAGAGATTACTTTCAAACAGCTTCTATAGTGGAAATCAATGTGGCCTTGCGAAAAACTCAAAGTTATGGCAAATTTGTTTCTCAAATATTTCAAAATCCTAGAGTGGTATGACTCTTGAAATAATATAATATAAAATCAAAAAGAATAATGTGAATGAAAAACATCATGCATGTAATATAATATTTGAGCTAGTTCCAGAATTGAGAAATAATCATTTCGACGTCTGTTTTTATAAAATTGAGAGTTTTTTTTTCAAACCACACTGGCGATTTCATTATTTTGTGTGATTAACCTTATGTTATCAACGTACTTTCATCTAGGGTCCCTTGATGTAAATTGACGTAATTGTCATCTCAACTGGGTACGGACGTAGTGACTTTGGTTTTGTGTACTGGCGTATCTGACATGACATCGCTGTCACTTCAAATTCATAGGCGTTAATTTTACATAAAAATGATTTCTTATCTTTTTTTCATCCGTCGAACGGTTTTTGAGTTAGGAAACAAAATTCGAAAGGCAGCAAAATCTCACAATAATTTATACAGCGTGAGTCAATTTTCTGTAGCAGGTCTTCAACAGCTCGATAAACACATATTCTCAAGATGTTATCTCCTAGATACCATTTTCGAAATAAAATGAAA